CAATTGCAACCAACGCTCATCTATACTTTTCGGTGGTATGGTAGCTAGCCTAGAAGCTAGTTCGGTTCGATACTTACTAGCAACAGAAGTTGCAACCAGCTTGCTTATATCAATCCATTGATGGCGGTCACTTCGTTGGCCACTGAAAAGTAAGGTAAGGTTGGCGCAGACCAAAGCATGGTCAGAGTCGAGATAGGTACTCCAAAAGGAGCGGCAGTCTTGTACACAACCACGCCAGCGGTAGCTAATCGCGATGTGATCAATCTGAGTCCAGGCTTGAGATGCAGAGGGAGGACGCCATGTGGCACATCGGCGATGACTGTGCCGGAAGTTAGTGCTAGCCAGAAACAGGTTATGGTCTGTGCATAGTTGCAGTAGATGGTCCCCGTTATCTGTCCTGCGACCAATAAGTCCCCATCGGCTACCTGAACGATTCTCTTCTGTGCCTAGACGCCCGACCTGAGCATTCAAGTCTCCGGCTAGTACTACAATATCTGTCGAACGCACTTTCTGGAGAAGAACAGATATCTGGTGGTAAAACTCATCCTTGATTGCATCTGGGCTGCAATCTGTCGGGGCATAGGCAAAGATGACGAAAAGACATCGTTTCTCACGCCGATTTCTTCTCACTTTGATGGAACTCTCTAATGTAACAGCACATAACCGACTGTTAATGGGGATCCAATCGATTAGTACTGTCTCAGCTTTAGCGCTTAGTGTGACAGCAAGGCCAGACGAAGATGCCACAGGGTCTGCGGATAAGCGCACGTAAAAGAAGCCTTTTGAAGCGACAGATGGAGATCGAATTTGTAGTACTTCGCCAGAGTCTTGAATACGGGTCTCGGATAGACAGCAAACATCGATATGAAGACTTTCTAAAGACATAGCCAGGCCTATCTGTTGTCCAACTTGCATAAGTATGCGAACGTTGGAGGCAGCCAGTTTGAATGGTGCACGTGGTTTCAGAAAAACTGCTTCAGTACTCATATTCGGTGGTAACATACAATTTTCAACCGGACAGTGACTCGAGAACGTTTGGATACAGTCGAATTTCCACTATAGACGAGCTGCTGTTTAAGTCGAAAAGTAAGGATAGACAGAGTGGGAATAAAAGAGTGAATAAATGACGTAGTAAATAATAATAATAACAATAATAGTAATGATAATAATTTGAATCATTTGATTGTTATGCGAAGCGAGAAAAGTAATTTCCGTAGATATAGAGAGTTCATCATTCGCGTGTGGGCTGCGATACTGCCCGGGTGCCCAGACCGAAGTAGGTGGTTATCTTAGGGGGCCACACCCCGAGCCTATGACCTAAAGGTCTAACCCACAAGGCTGTGAAGCATCGTAAGGAGATGCAGTCCCATGGTAGCCGGTGACCGAAAATTGGTTCATACGCCATTTGTTCCCGCAGGATACTGGAGCCAGCCCATGTGCAACATTGGTTTGAAATCCTGTTAAAGCTCCGGACATTCGCTTTTCGTCCTCTCATTTTCGTATACAACACCCGTGATGCGAGAAGGCAGTGAGTAGGACTTCCCTGGCAGAGGCTGTATACGCGTGGCCGTGTGAGAGTATTTCGAAAGGGAAGGCGGACCCACCCCGCTCTCGGTCATACCAGGGCTTTGAGGGCCAACCTCAAATGGTGTTCGTCAAGGCTATCCACTTTCTCCATTTTTGTTTAACTTCATCATAGACCTACTAATGGAAATAATGCTCTCGTCGACTGAATTCTCGGGTATTGATATCCTTCCAGGAGGTCCACTTGTCGACTTAGTATATGCAGATAACATAGTCCTGTTTGGTGAAGACGCTTCCATCATACTCCACAGATTATTCAAAACCCGAGAAAGATTGACTCGCGAAAAGCAGGCTGGGTTTCGTTCTGGTCGAGGATGTATTGATCATATCTTCACCCTCCGCCAAATGTTAGAACACTGCCATACTTATCAAAGGCCGACAATCGTAGTGTTTCTTGACATTAGGGCTGCCTTCGTTTCGTTGGATAGGACTATTCTCTGGGATTGTCTGTTGAATTAGGGTGTGACCAAGAAGTTTATTGACATCCTGAACTCCCTGTATACTAACACCTCAGGCAGAATGAGGGCATACAACCACTTCTCTCCATTGTTCCATCCAAGCAGTGGGGTTAGGCAGGGTTGCCCAATCTCACCATTCCTCTTCAACTTTGCCATCGATGACATTCTGGATACAGCTCTGATGGATGTAAGTAAGGGCGGTGTGGATCTGTTACCTGGAGAAAGACTTTTCGACCTTGAGTATGCGGATGATATTTAAGCCATGCAATCCGCACTTAATCAGTTGGAATGTGTTTTGCCCTTTCTAAGTTCAAAATACTTTTCAAAACTAGCTGGACCTTGATCCTTCACACACCCTGGGTAGTGAGCAGAGAGAAGTAGTCGAGAAGGTTGCGTATCTGGGTAGTTGATCGAGTGCTGGTAGTGAGATCGATTCGCGTACAGTGAAGGTCAGATATTTATGCCAGTCTGGGCCGTTTTTGGCGCTTTCGTTACATTATTCTGTGTGCAAAGGGTCGAATCTACAACACATCGGTGAGAGCAGTTTAGCTTTATGCTTCTGACACCTGGTCTCTCCGAGCTGAGGATGTTAGACGACTCTGTGTTTGATTATCGTTGTCTCCGAAGGATTGCTGATTTCTAGTGGCCACAACATGTTAGTAATGCAGAGGTTCGACATCGTGTTAGGGCACAGAAACGATAATGCAATTGGTGTCATCATCTTGAAACACCGACTTCGGTGGCTTGGATATGTTCTACGAATGTCGTCCCAGAGAATTTCACATCGCGCATTCTTTCCCGACGCTAAGAACGATTGGAAGAATCGGAGAGGTGGTCAGTGTATGACATGTCGTAGCATGAAAGAAAGCTGTACAGAACTGGCTTCTGTTGGTCCTTCACGACTCCCTGGTTGGGGTCATAGAGATGGTGCGACACAGTGTTTTGAGACGTCATACATGACTCATAATGAAAGCCCGCAATAATCCTGCTGTAACTTTCCTCATAAAAGTAATGATAACTTTAGCTGAAAGATTTCTTTCTAGTTGTATTTTTCGTAACTGAACAGTTTCTCCCATTATTATGATTATTATTTCACTCTCGTACATTAATTTCTTTTTATTATACGCACTTTATATTCTCTCTCTTCACAACCTCATTGTTATTGTATGGCGCATATGTATTTGGTGCCCCTTTGTATCAATGTTTATGTGCTCAAATAAATAAATAGAATTAATGTGCTGTTCACAGAGGATCTTAGGGAATCGCAAAACCAAAACAAAATAATGTGCAAAGAGTCCTATTATCTCATCCTTTCAACATTGGGTAACCATTCTAATGATCTAGGCATTTACCTACTTAATGCCTTTGTAGCTCTATCGGTTTATAATTCTCATAGTATTTGATAGATCACTGCTATCCCATATAAGCTTTATCAATATTTACTGAATCGGTAATTTGGACAGCAGTTTCTTTCTATATAGGAGGACTTTTGTCATCATTTGCAAACTATTTCGTTTTTCGTCAGTTCAGTATTTTCTTCAAAAATCCATTGTTCCGTGTCAAATGCATGTGCATTTCTTGATAATGCATGTCATCATGGACAGTATGAAAATTTTCAGTAAATTGAAGTGTTTTTCATCTTCAGTGGTAATTAGTCAATTCACGTGGGTATTTGAAAGCAAATTTTACAATATTTCGGTTATTATTTTTAATATTTCATCCCTATAATTACATATAAATTTATCTGTATAGTTTTTTGTCTCCAGAAACTAATTATTAATCACGGTTTATGTATTTCGAGGCTAGCAATACCTTCCTGTTTGAAGTTAGTATCAGTAACAGATCTCTTCATGAACAGTTTTGTGGGGATGTTAGATCCCCTGAGCTCACTTGGTAAATGCCTTAATTTCATAATTTTATTTTGGAAGTTTAAAATTCCTTGTTTTCGCGCCATAAGCGCACTTTTCACCTTCATGTCATATTTCCCACTTGGGAGAATTTTTAACGCTATTGGTCCGTTGTGTGTTTTTAGTATACTATTTTTGCTACGCTTCCCAAAGACAGTTTCATGCTGTATGTATACGTTTGATTTGTGTCTGTTATTATTCACTCGTGTTTCTGGCTTACGGAATATACCTTCCCGTTCCAAGCTTGGGCTTCTTCCTCTAGTTAGCGGATCTGGCACGCATCAAATAGCTAGCTTATTGGTCTACGGTCACAAGTCTTTGTTCGGTTCGCATACTAATTGAACTCGTAATGTCTTCAAACCTAGCACAATTTTACTGTGTACATCTTAAACGTAACTTTGTTTCTTAGCTATTGACTTAGTTATTTTTTACTTCATATTGTTCCTTTCTGGCTATTCTATTGTTTTGAAATGTGACTGAGTTAGTTTACTTTCGAGCTTGGTTCGGCGCTGTTTGGATGAAGTTTCTTTTAGACCCTTTTTTATAAATGCAACTCATTATGATCCACACGTGAACTAAATCTTTTTGAAACTTGTACAATCAACTAGTGTCATATACTAGTATATTTTATAAATCTGCCACGTGATCCGGCAAGCGAATAGAATATCACAAAACACTCGGGAAATAAGTACATTATTCCCGTAATAGCTCTCTAGCACAGTCTTTATGGATCGAAAAGACGACATTTTATAGTTTATTGTAGCATCAACCAGTAGTAATACTATTCGAAGCGCATGGGTATTCAGAGAAAAAATGGAAGTGTTTTTGATAATCAGATACTAAAAACGTAACTTTCAGAGCGCCAAATTCAAATTTACACACGCTTAAGGAAATTCGGCATCGTAACGACTAAAAACACTTTTATTTTCAGATATGTGTAGCCGAGTTGTTATTTCCCAATTTTAATAATATTTGTTTCCATGTGTCAATCATTTCATTATAGGGAACTTAGAAGGTTGGTATTTCAACCAAATCAAGGGGACCTGTGAAGATGTCAATGAAGGTAACAGAATGGAATGTCTTTTATTTACGCTATGGATCTTTAGCTGATATTATATCTTGTGTTGAATATGATAAAACTGGCGACTTTTTAGCAACCGGTGACCATGGCGGTAGAATTGTGATTTTTAAACGAGAAAATGAAGTTAGTTATAAAGTTGATAATCTTTAACACGTTTTTGTACTTCTATAATCCCAAACCATATATATATATATATAGAGAGAGAGAATATTAAAAAAACTATTTATAGACTAATATGTTTTGATATTTAGTGTTGATTCGATGACATCTTCAGCGCTCTGGAATGTTTTATGTACATCCATCCACTGCCTGCTTAGGTGCTTAATGTTTAGTGTAGGAGTGTTGCAATAAGAATAGGGACGCCCAAACCCACATTTGGGATCAGTTCATGAAGTGATTGACTATCAGGCTGAGTCGTGCTGGCTGATCCAGACTACCTGGTTGGGATTCATGTGATTATCGTGATCACTGCTCTGAGACGTTGAGTGGCGTGGATCAGAATCAGTCTCAAGGCAAAAATACGTTCCTCTGTGTAGCACCTTGGATTCCAAGTCTTAAAATTATTGTGCACTTTTTGCCCTCAAAATTTATTCTCTCTTCATGAATCATGTTGTCTATACCTAATTATTTCTACAACCTCTGACATTGGTACTAATTCTACTACACAGGCATGTTTCTTGATAATTTCGTCTTGTGCTGCTATGGTGTGACAACTGAAATTGGTTCACGTATTTGCTAAATTCTACTTTTTGATTGACAAATTCTAAGTCGTACAAAAGTTTCCTTGCTCTTCCCTTATAGTTGGTGTACAAGTTTTGTAATTCAACGGTTTATTTCAGTTACCATAATTTAACGTCTTTGTTCATATCTTCATCTGTCAGAATTATGGATCGGTAGTAGCCTTAATTCTCTTAGAGGACCATTGTAAATGTGAATCGCGGAATGGTGAGCTCTTTAACTTTAGACTCCTATCACACAATTTCTAACTGCTTGATAAAAATAGGTTTGCTTTTCTAAAAATTCTAAGATACACAATTACGTTCGATTTTTCAACTTCTATTGGTGAATGATTTTATGGCTGTTTAACTTTCACATTGGCTCAAATGCATTCACTCATTATTCTTTTCTTGATCGCTTCATGTACCTACCTTTCCACGCAATCTTTTCACCAATGCTTGGTTTTTATCATTACTACTGCTAAATTATTTCAATCTCTTTTACAATTCATCTGGTACTAATTTGATATGGCAATATGGTCCAGCATATCTATGCTAGGTTCTGCTTTGATGATGTCTGTATGTCGGACTAATATTCGCTTGCAACAAAGTTTAGTGGCTATCACACGTATTAGCTTACGAGACTACATCGTTTAATAAACGAATTTATTATTACTGTTGGGGAGATAGTTTACTCACTGTTAGCTGTTTGAAAGCTAATTTCATGTTATATATCATTGGTGAATATGAAAAGTAACACAACCTATAAAGATTTTTTAATTACTTTCTAAAGAACCCTCTATAATTCATATTAGTTTCAAAAAGCAGATTGAATCAGTGCAAAAGTATTCGTTTTTGGTCTTCCTTTCAGTTTTAAGCAATAATATGGTCTTAAACTTTCCTTATTCTCCGATTTCATTTGCTTTCTTTAAAGGATTACGGAATAGATAGATTTTAGTTAGTGATCGAATCCAGTATTCGGGTTTCGTTCTATTTTGGTACTAGTTAGCTAAATCTGTGATGCATTCTAGTGTTGATGTTCAACTTGGGATTCAAACCCAGAACCTCTAACTTCAAATTTCAATGTGAACGTCAACATCGGGGTGCAGATAGAACAAAACCCACTTTCTGGTTTCCATCGCTAGCCATAATCTATCTGTTCTAAATATTTGTAACGAAACAACCATATCAAGACAGTCCCCAGAGGATGCACGTATCCCAGTATGTAGGACTGATCTAAACTTGATCTTAAATATAAAAAAATTGGATAATTCAAACTCTTACTAGTAATAATACTATTGCTTTCTCCTCCATTTTTCTCCTGATGCGTAACTACTTAGGTTAGTGAACACTTGTACCATCACTTTATGTATCTCCCTCACGCCCGTTTATTTTGTTTATTTCATTGTGTATAATTTGTAGTTGGCGATTTTGTATTTAACATGAGGCCAGACTATTGACATTTTTAAATTATAGACCTAACACATCAAGAACCACTCACAAAAAGACTATGTGTGACCGGCTTTAAGCAGTTACCTCTTAGATTTTGTGAACACGCTGTCAAGTCTTCAAGATTATTACTAATCCAATTTTCTTTTCAGTCACCTCAAGAACAGTTATTATTCCTCACCGTAGGCAACCTCTAAGAGTACTCGAGATCTTTCAATCCGCGACCAAGTATCCCACATAACAGTTATTATTATCAGTCATTCGATCACAAGTTTAAATTCCGTTCTACTTGATTTATTCTCAACAGTCAACCACCAGGGTGACAGGCTTGAAGTTCATTGTGCTTGCTTCGGGTTACACGACAGGATAGCGTGTCACTAACTCTTGCGAAAAACTGTTTGACTCAAATACAATGTACATCATACCTGTTCTGGCATACTTAGTTGAATTATTAAGTTAAACTAAAATCATAGTAATTCACTCGTTCATCTACGATTCACTCTTTTTTTCTGAAAAATTTTGTAGGATAAACTTCAAAAATGCATCAGTCACAACGTGTATTGTACATTTGTCAGTCATGAACCGGAATTTGACTATCTTAAATCATTGGAAATTGAAGAGAAAATCAATAAAATCCGATGGTTACCACGTACTAATCATGCACAATTTCTGCTTTCTACAAATGGTCAGTAATATTTTTGTTCATCTTGCCTTGCTAAGGAAAAACTGAATATTTAAGCTCAGTAATTGTTTCTGTCTAGTTCCACATTCTGATTATCGTGCTGGACTATCCTTCATAATTACTTAAATTAGTCCCTTGCAACTTCTCACTGTTTCCAAGATGCAAAATGGTCACATGGGTTGGGGAAGCGGCGCTGGTGGAACGATGTAGCAACTAGAGAAGACTCTAACTTCTAATTTATTTCATGGACGTTTTTTTCAAAAGTGAAAATGTAAAGGGCTGGACAGATATATTAATTCTGTTGTTCCAGAAATATTTAAAAATATGAGATAAGAAAACCGATATACCTGGAATTGTGTAAAATAATATTTTAATGAGATTGGTTCGTGTATTTATTGGATAGACTACGTGTGTGTAAACGTATTTTGTAGCAGGGTTGTTTCATTTGCTTCTAATAGTTACCAAACAATTGATACGTTCTCTACCTCGTTCTCTCCCCTCTCTATTACAGACAAAACAATTAAACTTTGGCGCATTACTGAACGGTGTCGACGTGTTGCCAATAGTACTTGTACATCCTCTGATTACTTCTTACACAATAATACAACTAGAAGTACTAATACTACCGATAATGATGATAATCTTATGTTGAACGATAAGAATAACTCATCCGTTTCATTGAATAAAATTTATCAGAAAACTGATCTACGTGTACCATATTATGAAGATATTGACCCTGTCATGGATGCACATCCTAAACGAATATTTGCTAATGCACATACTTATCTTATCAATTCATTATCAGTGAATTCTGATCAAGAAACATTTCTCTCAGCGGATGATTTAAGAATTAATTTATGGAATTTAGAAATTACCAACCAATCATTCAGTATCCTTTTCTTTATCCCTTATTGTTTGTTCAATGTTAGATAGTTTTTTTTGTAGAGGAACTTCGTTTTTACCCGTGTGTACTTTTGGTAGGTATTTTTGAATCACGGACATTGACTATAGCTTAAGGATCCCTGTGCTGCAATAAATAAAAGTCCTAGTTACAAGTCAGTAGATTCCGGGTTTGAACCTTAATGAGCTATTGTAGAGCAGGGACTTAAGCATTCAACTCTCAGGTTTTAGTCACTGGTTCAACCTACTTCCATGTAATATCGCTGGGCCTCACACTTAAATTGTGTCCCTTAGCCAAGCGCACAAGTCTGCATTTAGTATGTGTGCGAAAACTTAGGCTAAGAAAGTATGGAGAATCACGTAACAACAAATAATCATTTTTAATTATGTATGGTGCTCGTTACGCAAGACTAGGATTCAGTCTTTTATGAAATTATGTAAGCATGCTTTTGAAGAGTTTCAAATTAAATCCTGTAGGAACTCAATAGGGAGATTTACTTGGATCTAAGCTATTTGCTAGTTAGTACTACCTAGCAATGCGTTTCTGTAATCCTCCAAAAACTAGTACTTCTTGTGAGTATGGACGCGCGTCGCCCAGCATCAAAAGGAAGCCATCATTTAGCCTTTTGAGTCATAATGTTACCACCTGTAGGACTGATTGAACGTTGAGCAGCAATTTATATCGTTTATGCGAGACCCTTGGTATTGATGCAATTCTATCGATCTCTATTTCAGTTGATCTATTAGTTATCAATTAGTAGTAGCTCAGTAAATTACCAACGCTGTTGTACAGATGAACTTGTGGAGACTAATCACTGCGCAAGTCTATACTAAGCTTTAGTCAAACTGAAACTAACTTAGTCATTATTTAGTGGCAACTTGTTTTTCTTTTTCAACTATTCAACGCATTGCATACACAAAGTACTTATACTATGGTTGACTAATAAATGAGGAAAAATTCTGATCTCGTATTGAACTTATCTAAGACAAATTCATACAGATATTTGTGTTGTATTAATAATAATAATAAGTAATTCAGCAGCCACTTGCGTATACATATATATACAACAAAATATTAAGTAAGACTATTTTTCTTTAACCCCTTTTTTAAAAAAATAATAAGATATTGTTGATTTAAAACCTGTGAATATGGAAGATTTGTCTGAAGTGATAACAGCTGCTCAATTTCATCCATCAGCGTGTTCATTATTTATTTACAGCAGCAGTAAAGGCACCATACGTTTATGTGATATGCGTCAACGTGCACTGTGCGATGAACATGCATTATGTAAGTAGTATTCTATTTACCTTATTGTGCGATGTAAGGTTATGATTTTCGTTTTGTCGGAGGAAAACATTGCTTAGGTTGTATTAGGTTCCATGTGATCTGGACACAACGACAGGAAAAAAAGATTTATGACCTCTCTCTCTAGTCCGTTTATCGATTAGTTCAGCTATACTGCCAGTAAGATCAGTAACATTCTAAGCACCGATGAACACGTCGACCATTGAACAACAACTAAGGCCTTAACGCTTATTGATCTCCGAGCTCCTAACCAAGTGGACAATTAGAAAATAAAGATAAAAACCAAACAATTCTCTTTCGTACTCAATCCAACTATGATTCAAGACTCGTACAATTATCTACCTGAAAAGACTGGTTAAACTGATCTTACTGGCAGTATAGCTGGACTAATCAATAAACGGACTAGAGAGAGAGGTCATAAATCTTTTTCTCCTGTCGTTGTGTCCAGATCACACGGAACCCAATACAATCCATGTATCTAGGTTCCTCTTTTTTCACCATTGTATCGACGATAACTCTGATTTTGATTTTTTTTTCTTATTTTATCCCTTCTTTTATTCCCTCTATTTTGCAGCGTTTGAAGAAGTCGACGATCCAATGAGTCGGTGTTTTTTCTCTGAAATTATTAACAATATATCCGATTTAAATTTTAGTCATTCCGGTCGTTATATTTTAAGTCGAGATTACTTAACATTGAAAGGTACAGTGTATTTACCGTTTTTCCGAAATCTCTATGTCTTTTTATTTTTGTTTTTAGACAGGACTGATTATTTGTTTAACAACTCAAATAAATAGGGAATTATCTATAATTTGACGTGCACACTTTTATTGTACTTCCAAATGCTATTTTTCACTGGACATTCTGTAATTATAAGTTTATGCATTCGAACAAGATAAGTTCCAGTTGTCAAAGGTAGTAGTAATTTCCTTGTCGCTCTCACACATTGGAAGGTCACGCCTTAAGGAATTTGAAAAGAAACTGGTTTCATGGTAATCTTAAAGTCCTGGAGGCGTAGTCACAGATCCCACGGAACAACTACTTTTTGTAGTCGTGAATGTTTTAAATAGTATTATCGCTTTGTATTTGACTTGGAACCTTTTAAAAAATTTAAGTGCCCTACAAGCAAGTTGAATAATAATACCTCTAGTTTTCTGAACATTGCTAATTATGCAAGTCTGGTGACTTCATCAAATTCAGCTTCGGATTGTGTAATATATACACATATCCATTAATGTAAGCTGTTTATAGAGACTGTTAAATTTGAAGTTTCTTTGTCATGAACTATTGATGACCAAAAATGCACCAGACTAGTGGTTCATCTTAATATTACCATTCAGTAGTGCGTTTTTCGCAAGGTCCAGAGTTTTTAGACTCAATCCCTGATAAGGATGTGGATGCACAGTGCTTAGGAGCTCCATACTAGGACGAAATAAACCTCTCTTTGATGCTCCACAAACTTTTTGTACCAATAACAAGGCAAAATATATTAAAGTCTATTTAAATAAATACATCTATACGAAACAATAGTGGATTTTATATGATCACAGGGCTAAAATGTTCACATGAAAATTCACTTGGTTTATTCGTGATTTTCTTTTTAAATTCCATTCACTCTTTGTGATCTCATTCACTTTTGTCTTTAATTCCTAATTTTTTGTTTCATGATTCAATTATTTTAGTTTGGGATTTAAATATGCCTCGTCGACCAGTTGAAACTTACCTCGTTCACGATTATTTCCGTACAAAATTATGTGCACTCTATGAAAATGATTGTATATTTGATAAATTCGAATGTCAATGGTCACCAAACGATGAGTAAGTAATAGGAAATCGTAATAATGATTTAAAAATGAACTATGCTGTATATTGTCAATCGGTTTGTGAAGAAAGTCTCAGCGTAACTCAAGCCACACAGTCTGAGTGCAACAAGGCCTAGTGATACTACCCAGTTGACCAAAAGTAAATGTAATGAAGCGGTTTCAAATCTGCGATCTAATGCTGCAGGTCAAACATTTTTACCATTGAGCTATATTTGTCCAAGATCGCCTTGCCTACTTTTGCCTAAATAACATAAATAGCATATTTAACAATAGTATTTGAATTCCAGCACAAATTCTAATACATATACTTAATTACTACATTAATGAGTCGTAATTTAAGTTCCTCCTTAAATGTCGAGTACATATGTAACTTGTTAGTAACCACACACCATGCGTGTAGAACACCCTAGGCTTGATCTGCAGTCAGGCCATGGACGCACACTGCTACTCAGGAGACCAATACTACAACGAAACAACTTGTTCAGTGCTTCCTGGTTTTTGATAACTGTCTAACTAAGATCAATTTATGGTGTAAATCATAGAATTCAAAGCACCCCACAAAAGCTTTAAGAAAAAGTTTATTTATTTTTGAAATTATGGAAGTGTTATATGAAAAATCGTTGTATATCAGGGCTAAACTGAACAGCTATTTTATTCTAGTTTCAGAGTTCCTTAAAGGACTTACATATCCGTTACATTTCATTGACTTCAAGATCTACTGGTGTCTTGTGGGTGGTATGTCTTATGACCGCTGGCCAAAATCAAGGGCCGTAACCACCAATCAGAATCTTGACTTCTATGACTTAATGTCCCTGAGCTGACCAATTACACGTCCGACTATTATAAGTAACTTTGATTCGAATTCTCAACCCTTATTGGTCCACGGTTCCGTAGCCCCTTTCTCTACCCTGTCACTGATCAGCTTCAACGAATATTATATTTTAAGCAGACATACGCAAGTATGCCACACCACACATCACACCATCTAATAAAAAATAACAATTATACATGGTGAAACCAAAAGTATCTGTGAGAAAGGGAGACTGAATAATAAACTTGCAACAGATCAGGAATGGTAAGTTATACAGTAGTAATTAATAGGTTAGTCGAAAAGGTATAAATATATATACTTTTACAATATCCTTTCCGTTACAACATTAGAGATCTCAATACTTCAATTCTCCTGGTTGAAATCGGTTCACATTTATGTCATTACTCAACGATCGGTGATATATATCCCACTTAATATGATTCTTCACTTCTAGCGATAATAGCTATCTGTTTAGAACTTTGAGAATTTATCTTGAAGTTTAATTTTTTTTTATCACATATGAAGTTGTGGCTCAATGGACTAAATGAGTCAGCTTCTGACCATTGATTTAAGAGCCCAAAGCTATTTACTTAATTAATTTTGGTTTGAAAAGTTTAACAGCTTCATTAGAGTTTATACCTTAGTTGTATTGCAAAGTATCCTGGTGTAAATAAACCTATCCACTCAATTATGCATAATCTACATTTGAACCGGGGAATAATATTATAGATCACATTTGAGATTTTCTCTTCACGCCAATATAACAATCTAAAGTTGACCAAATAATTAATGCATAATGGAGAATTCATCGTAAACAGTATCTATCAACATGGTTATCAAAATATTTTGTAAATAGAATGATCGATTTATTGTTATCAAATCACTTGTTCTCTGTATGTTGTGTAAGTAATTATATCACTGAAAAATATTATACTTGTTTAGTATGACAGCCGCGGTATTGTTTTTTTCTAGATGATTATTATTACTACTATTTTATTTGTGTACTTGTTATGCATTGTTGAAATGACTGATGGTTATCTCTGATTGGTTGGTTTGTTTTTTAACTTGGACTAATCAATTTAGGTCTTGACCAATCAAAATCTGCATAAAAGTAGTGTGGAATTGATTAGCGGTAGAATTATTTGATCATTTTAAACCCTGTTTTTTTTTCTTAAAATTGGATGTTCACCAGTTCATCTCGCGTGTTTATTGTTACTGTTAAAGTGATGTGATCTGTCATGCTTTAGTGTTCAGGCAAAACGATGTTACTGAAGCCACGGCACTGTCGGCTTATTTCCCCGTTCATTTAGTGGATGAATAAGTTATCCGAAAATGTTCGATGTGAATACGCCAGTGTAGGACAGACCAGCATCCCTGATTAAAATATATATATAATGAGATTTAGAGTTCGAAAACGAAATTTTTGTCAAAATTGCACTCCGAAATCCAGTACAAACGAAAGAAGTCAAAAGTGCTATGTTTAACACACTACTTGAACATGAGAAACATGACATATAACCTCAATAAGATTGAGGTTATATGGAAGAGGTACCTAAATGTAACATACTGAGTTATGTAAGGACGTTCTGTATGGTCTATATTCAGATTTATTTTCGTCACCTTATTGTTCTGTCCCTCGGCGCTATTCAGTGTTACTAAAGTATGCCTCTTAAACACAACTGATCCTCTATGTTGAGAAAAGTAACCCAGTGTGGGAAGCTTTATTGCCAAGATCCCAATATTGATGCTTAAATTTTTCGAATTCCCAAGTGTGCTAAGTGACTCGGTCAAAGGCATGTAGAGGGTGACCTCAGATTGATAAATAATTCGCTCACTCATAGAATACGCCGTCCATACTTTCATCTTTCAATATGTGGCGTTAAAACAGTCTAAGATTTATCTTTACTTGAACATTAATGGATGAACGATAGTACAATTTTTTAGATGCCAAGTTTTGAATTTAGAGTTCTAAGCGGTAATCTGAGGCTCTTTGAATCAAGTATTTAAGTTTAGAACAGCAACTAAGAAGTGTGTTCTCCATATTAACTTATTTATATAGGTTTATTCACTAGTCTATCGGGCAAACTTTCAGGTCAAACATTTTGGTAGTTGTAATACAAACTAACAAACAAATTTCGGTTTATCAAAGCGTTTTGAGGGAAGAGTTTTTTAATCTTTTACATAAATTTGGAAGACAGTTGAAAAAATTTAAAGGTATAGACGATCATAATAACAGATTGGGTTGTGTATACAAAAATTAATTACTGGAACCACGAATCTTTCAATATTGCTCTGTAATATCCTGTATATTCTAGAATTATCGAAAAAACTTGTATTATATTCTCAATCCGTCCACTAACATTGACTGGACTAGTCAACATATTGCGACTTACACTTTTATAGTAGGGCTACAGTTGTCGTGATTCTATCCTGCTAAGATGGACTTCACATAGTAATTACGATGTTATATGTGTCCTATCGTTATGTTCTAACGAAATGTCAACTCTATGTAATTAAAACTAATGTGTTTTCTACATAAGTATGTTAGCCAATTCGGTAAAACTTCATTTTTTTAAAGTTATAATTAAAAATCTCAAGCTTTTTCACTTAAAAACCCTTCAATGGTTTTGCTTTGATCATTAAATAATGTAGTTTAAATCAACTTGATGTGGTTCAATCAAATCGTGCATAACAAATAAACTTGTATTTATGGATGAAGCTAATAAAAATGTAGTTAGTTTTCAAAACTGATTGAAACTGGTTGCTATGGGCACTTCGTTTTTAAACTTAGCGGGGAACCTAACACCCAAATATAAATACAGCCTACTAGTATTGTTAAACATTGAGCCACGTTCATTTTGCATATGTATAGATCAATGCTACTAATTGACCTGTAACAAGGTTTAAGCCCACATTATCTTGTATTGCGATCACACTATGCCCTACCGCTCCACAACTCCCACACAATAAGTCGTTATTAACATAGACCGATTTATGGTAGATTATTTTCCTCAATTCACATGTTTTTCTTAAAATGCAGTTATTAAGTTAAGTTGACTAAAATAGATTATTATCAGAATGTGTTTTGTGGAGATTTTCACAGATTGAACTCATGAGTCAGTTGAAGCTAGACCACCATTGAAAACCTGAAAGCACTGGACGGCCGTTTCGTCCTAGTATGGGACTCCTCAGCAGTGCGCATCCACGACCCCGCACAACCCGGGGCTCGAACCCAGGACCTACTGGCTTCGCGCGCGAGCACTTAACCAGTGCTTCCAGGTTTTCAATGGTGGTCTAGCTTCAACTGACTCATGAGTTCAATCTGTAAAATAGATTAATTAATTTATGCATGACTGGAAAACATGTTATTTCATGTTGGCATGTACATTCCACTAATAATCCACAGTTTTTAACGGTACCATGTTATTGTTGTGTTGCATTACATTGCTATCTCTCGTACCACTACTTACGTACTCTATATTAACTGTCAATCATTCTAAGTGAAAAACATTTGTCATAGGATCTTAAGTACAAATATTGAATGAAATTCTATGTATTAGATTAAATTTAATCACTTCAGTTTAGAGAGGGATTTTTACTCACAAACTTATTTAGTTTTGTGCAAGTTGTGTCTGTTTCGTTAAACATACTCTAATGCCAAAACTATGCTAATAATACTATATCTTTTGTTATATCTTAATGGGTAGATAATTCAATAAAGAAATAACCGAAATAAATTAACACAAGTTTAAATAGTACAAAGGGAACAATTTTTATTTTGGTTATTTATTTGCCTTGAAGAAGTGGCTTTTGTTGAGGCACGAAACGTCAGAAATATAGTTTTTCTACTCATTGGGATATAGCAAAAAATATATTTATTATTAGCTTTCTACCCAATGGTCAGTTTATTTTAATCTATCAAGCCCAACTTCGGTATTGATTAGTCGTGAAGACCTACAATTCCTTTTTTTAACCAAATCAAAACGTGATCATTATCAAAATAAATAATATAAATCTGGGAACTGTATGTGAGATTGTTAAAGGTGTTTTGATTACAATAATTTCAAACATATTCCCTACCTCTGTTGCTTCTATCCCATGACGTAGTGATCACTAAGCTTTTATATTGTGAGGACCATTCAGTTGAACTGTACTGACTAGGGTCCAACATCCCATGCTCGTTGCTTGAAGAATAAAACTAAAAATAAATCTGCTTATGGTCCAAGTGAGAAATCGAATTGCCAACTGTGGTTGTAATTATAACTAATTTATTTCAAGTATATTATTAACGTTTATTAGTGGCAGCACTGTTAAAAAGAAAGAACGTTAACTAAATATAAAGTAATTTAATAGTTGAAATCATGAGTCGATTGAAGCTAGACCACCATAAAAAACCTGGGAGCATTTGTGGTCTAGCTTTAATTGAATCTTGACCTCAATTATTAAATTACTATAATATCCACAAAAACCCCTTTCTGATATTAAATATAAAGTGTTATGTAAATAAGAGTATGCTTGTTAGTAATGTTGTGTTCATGTCCATTGGATGAAACAGTAGAGGGCGTGTGATGTATGTTACTGCACTCTAGCTTGCGGTTATCTCATTGCGTATTAAGCAAGTTGGAATAGTAGATATTTAGTGTTAAAAACATCTTTTCTCCTGTTTCAAGTTTGTTTGTGTAGATGAGATAATCACGTCCAGTGGTTGAAAACAGGTGACATGAAACATCAGTAGTGCTGGTGCACTCGCTGCTCATGTTTCTCTAGATCTTGAGCTATGGTATTCTTTCTCATTTTGTCTTTTTACACTATATTCCCAAAGTTTACTCTTTCTCATTACCATTAGTGCGATGATTATTCCTACTCACTTTGTTGATTCAATCTTGTGAAGATTTGAGCCAACACACATTTATGCCCGGCTCTACGTTCATTATGAACGACTGATTTATTCTTTAATTTTCTTCTTGGTAATGAATCATTATACTGTTAAATGAAAGTATTAAATTTTGAACCAACCACTTTGGAATGTGTTTTGTCTAATGACTACAGCTTTATGACACACTGCTGTTCGTGTTAAAAATCGTCCTCAAATTTGACGAATTCACTCGAACATAAACACATCAATTTGTTTCCATCCAATTTTTTAATTAGTTTATTGTTCTCTTGTTATCCTGTGTCACGTTCATGTGGAGCTATCTTGAAATATATATGCGCATATAGGGAATTCCGTTTGTACGAAAGTACTAACCAATGCTTCTGCGATTTAGCTGCCCACAGCCGAGCTAGGTTTTAAGGGGTTCTTACTTACTACCTAATATGGGCTTCGTCCCCATGCTTTAATTACTAAAGTTACCCCCATAGTCCGGTTCTATTCCCAACATTTTGTCGTCACATATGACTATCTACATACTGGTCACACACACATCTAAACTCTGCTGAAGAACCCCTATTTTATTACAGTAACACTAAAAAGTGTATGTACAGCTCCAAAGTTGAAAATCTCATGTGTGTCAATCCAACTAACAATATTATTCCTAGTTTAGTAATAGTAGTAAGGTGTGAAGATTAGTTTTTAGTTTGAGGATACTTTTATCACAGATCGACGTGTCGATTGCAAGGGGTGTGTGAGAGTCTTGAAGTTGTGATAAAACACAGCCTAACGCACAGTAGCCCATTTCAATCGTTAGCCATCAGCTATTGTCTTTAGTCTGTAAAAAAAAACCATCTTCATATTAATTGATTACTTTAAAGTGAAAACTATCTACAAGTTAAACTAAAATTAATTCTTTTTGGGATGATTTGTTTTCGTTGTTTTTCCCCGTGCCAAAGTTCTTCCAATATTTTTATTTTTACAGTATGGTTGTCACCGGTTCATACAATAATTACTTTCGTGTATTTGAACGTGGTACCTCGAATGATCTACTAATGGAAGCATCTCGTGAAGCTATGGAAAATAGTGTATGCGGTAAACTGAAACCATGTCAAGTGATATCTGATGGAACTATCGGGGGTAGCAGTGCCAGTAGTAGTGGTGCTTTCGCTCGATCATGGTCTGAGGGTAAAGTCAATGTGGAATGTATGGATTTAACACGTAAACTGCTTCATTTATCATGGCACACACGTGAAAATACTCTAGCGTTGGCTGGTACTAGTAGTCTTTACTTACTTGACTACTATCCTGATAATCGTCAGTTAAGTGATAATCCAATAGAATCACAACGAACTGATCACCTAATGAACGGTGGTGTTAATGACAGTAGTAATCATTATTTTGACAACAATAATATTACTTCTACACCGTCTAATTAAACCAGTTGTACCATAATTATACTGAAAAATGTAACTCTTTCGTTAGCAGTCCTGTTTTTTTAACTCCCTCTGTTTCCTTAGAATGCAAATACACACATACTTGTATACAAACATCGTTCCGCTCCTCTCTCCTTCTCCGTGTATATTTATATTTTTTTCATAAATTGTATTGTCTATCGTTAAATTGCATTTCTAGCCTTTAAATTATTATGTCTGATTGATATGTACATTTTGCAGTATGTGCTAATTTGTATATGTATGTATGTATATTTCTATGACTAACATCAATTGGTATTTCATATATATATATATATATATATATATATATATATATATATATATATATATATATATATATATATATATATATATATATATATAAATGATTTGGCAGCAACCGTGTCTTATTTCAAATTGCGAAATTGTAGCAAACACTTTTTCAGAGACAAAACTTTTGTTACATTATTTTGTAGTAGAGGATACACTCAACCTTTCCCTTGTTGTCTTATAATCTCTTCTGTTTGTTATTGTTCTTTTTAATGAATTTAACTGCACTCTATAATGAGGAGGATGTGTTGGTGACACACAGCCAATTGCACTAATCTTTTTTACTTCTATTGCATTTCATCTCTAATGTTTAGCTTGTCATTCATTATCTGCCTTGATTTGGTTGGTGAACAAAAAACTTTGTTAAGCGGATGCTCATACACATTCAGTTATAGATTTCGATATATGTATGTAGTACCACTTATCCATTGACGTTGACAACAAGCATCTTTCTTCATCGAATCCTTTTTACAGAAATTTCTTTTTGTACGAAGATGGTTTTTTTAAAACTTCTTGTATTCTTTATTCTCTTCAAGTGCTCAACTTCTATTGTCTGTGTGACTTTGTATTACTCAGGTGTTCTGTTCCATATTTGTTCTGTTGTTGTAAACCTTCATGTTATTTCAAAATTATTGTTTGATTGAAACATATTTAGTATTGTGCATGTGTAGGTGTATATGTGTGTATCCCAGTACTTTAAGTGCTCATTCTCGCTTTCACCTACATTTCAGTTTTTCATCCCTTTGTATTCACCTTACTCTTGATATGATGATGATGAATAGGAGGACAGGTTGTCTAGCCATCTCCCTTAATTTCCTTGCCAAATAACGAAATATATTCGTAGTGATTTTTCTACTATTACTCTGTCATGAACTTATTTTATCGGCGTGTAAATCAATCTATTTCTTCCGTAGATTTATATGCTTATCACTTGTGTGTATGCTGGTAGGCAGTCCTCGTTTATGTTACTGAACAACAACTAGCTTCATCAAAACAATTCCAGGTCCACACTATGTACAAATGACTGACCGAATGTCATTTGTATCACAACAATTCGTTTGTTGCTAATCTGTTGAATGTTCCTCTTTTTACTTTTTGAATTTCTGTTTTCCTTACATTTTGTTCAATATTTGTGTAGTACACCTAGCAACAAAATTTTCTCCACACAAAAATATGTTTTTATTACTTATCTTCACACGAGATGTATACTATTTTCTACATACATATGGATTAATTATTGTTGTTGATCATTCAGCGGTCTATTGTTGAATATTTAAAAATATATAATTTTACAAATAATCTTACACCATTGTTCTCATCTCGAGGTTATTAACCATTAATATGAGGTGTTTAGATTTATTTCCACTCTTAATAAACAATTATTATTTGGTTGGAGAATAGTTGGCATGAGGTCCTGGGCTCAACCTATATTTCATGCTAGTTGACACATCAGTAAGACATACGTGGGATTCCGAAGGAATTGATGTTCCCTATGTGGTCTGGACCCTTCACCTAGTTTCACCATCTCAAAAGTTATAATCGAGCTGTTCCAGTGGTGACCTACCTGTATAACAAATGTTCACAATTAGACTGATCACTGAGTAATGACCAGTGTCATTTCAACTCTGTCGATAAGATTCGATCATTATCAATGACTAGGTAAACACAGCATTGGTCACTACCGAGTGGTCGGTGGGTTGTAACTGATAAATGGATCCTATTCAAGACAGCTTAATTATCATAAATTTGAAGTGTTGCATTCGATTTCTTCACCACCGTTTGGAAACCCTCTGCTCCAATGTAAGTATATGGATGACAGTAGTACCTACAAATACATATATGGCTGTAGTATCTTCCAAGTAATTGTTCTAATACTAATCGGTTTCTAGATAACAGTATTATGTCGAACAGAAAATTGATAAAAGGGTCTCAGTGATATTACTATACAGTTGAGCTCCTAGCCTTTTTTTTAATAGTTGTAGTGTTATGGTTTGATTTCTGGCAAAACATTAGTCTCGTGTATGTTGTTATTTTCACAAACATATACCTCACATTTGTGTAGAGACTTGATGTATTAGAGCGAAGGTTGGTGGATTATTATGATATATATTCTTATCCCATGATTACTAAATAACTGGATTTCACTTCTCAAAGCTTTCCTTTAACTCATTATTATTTCTACTTCATTGTCAATTAAATATTTACAGCTTACGCTGTTCACAGCCACTTTTGGCTTGGTGATGGATAATTATGATTTTTATTTTACGGTGTAATGCGATCCAGGATGTTGGTATATAAACCCACATGTGCTTCAGATGTAATGTATGAGAAGGTGGCTGGCAAACTCGGCTCATAGAAGACGGTAAAGAAAAAGCGTGGGGATAACAGACCGATAGGAGTATTCCAAGTTTTGGCTCGAGGTTAACTTGGGCAGATTAGAACGTATAATTGGTCTGTTAAGAAACCTGAAGATGACTTTCATATGCTGCGTTTCTTAATAAGCAATGTGAAGGCTTCAAGTTACGTTCACTTTCAGACGAACAATTTAAGTGTCCTAATTTTGTATGTGAGTTGCAATCATCGTCAGACTCAGAATGCAGTCTGATATTACAAATAAATGTCGTCGTATTATTAATCTCAAGATTGATACAAAAATGATCGAACATCCAAATCCCAGTTCATTTGATTAAATGAAAATTTCCCAACACACTATTAATTTCGCAAACCATGATTCGCGAAATTCTCTACCGAATTGAATGTATAATGTTCACATCGCTCTACAAAGCCTCTCACTAATTGTTGGAACTGCGGGGCATCACATTTCTCCCGTTCCTGCCCATTTAATAACCATAAACGAGCAAGATGTGGGATAACTGGTCATAAGGAGAGATTTCGCAAATGCAACAAACCCTCATTATCTAATACCAAAAAAGATAAGTTGCGTACGTGTTTTGTCAAAATCTAACCCTAAATGATAACTCAAGTATTTATCCACTAATGTTAATGACCATATTATCACTCTACAGTTGGACACTAAATCTAATGTTACTTTGATTTCTGGTAAAACTTGGTCGGTCAAGCATCCATCCTATTACTGATTGCATGAAGAATGCACCAGGCATCCCAATCAATGTTTCTGGAATTATCAATTGTACTATCAAATTTAATTATCTAATAATAGATCCAACTGTTATGTTACTGAAGAATCGTCCAATCTATTGTGTCCTGACTGGATCACAGAATAAAAATACTTGATTATCCATTTAATATTATTTATAATCCAGATTCGAAAATGCTCGATCACTCATCCAATCTTAATTGCAACCAAATATCTTCATATGATGCACAGGCGGAGAGCACGACGGAGGGAACCACGTGGAACAATCCCGCACTCAACCTCACTCAAGGGTACATGATCAGCTGAATCAGTATTCAAAAGGACTCGGACTTCATGTGGCCCCATATATCTACATATAGGAAAGCCAGATTTAGAACTCAAAGAGAGTAGAACCAAGCGTTGCTTCTCTTAACGCCCAAGGACGCGGACTTATTTTTCAAAAGAGAAAGGTGATACTGTAAGCCAATCATAAGTAGCCAAATGAGAAGTTCACTTGATGACAATCCGAAATGACCTAAAGAACGAATACACATCATTGGCTATGAAATGGGTTGACTTTCCAAGGGATGTATTTATATAAATGAACTTTGTCGGTGGCTCAACAGGCTTTCTCTTCCACTTTTATCTTCTCACTCAAGTAGTTAGTTTGGGGGTCTAGTGCGTAACAGGTCGTGTGTTAGTGTTATAACTTGTGGCCTGTTTGCCTTGTTAATGTATAACGTAATGATACCGCCAATTAGAGAGCAGTGAATTATCGATCGGACCAATGACTCTTGAAACCCTGCGACCAGTCTAGAGTACTTATCAGTCCTGATTCCTGCATAGTTCAACTAGTTAAGTCCAGAACACCAGTCACAGCCTCTGCGATATGAATCATTTATTTCAAGCATACTGGGTCTATATACCAACCAGACAGACCACGTCGTACCATAAAATGAAAAATAACATTTGTACAAGACTTAGCCAGATGTGGCTGTGAGTGTGGGAGGTAGTAATTAATAGACAGGGCATAATTCGAGAATGTAAATCGTATAATAATAGTTCATAGGTCAAAATAAAGCTCATAATAAGAGGGACATGAATATGAACAGTTTAGTCATTTAACAATTATACGATAAAAATATACGCATAGTATTGGACCATAAAAGGATCCCATTCATTATTCCTATCAGGACATAACAGTATCAGATCTCGGGCACCGCCCATCATATCACAATCATTTTTAACATTCTGAGTAGTGCATAAAAGTATTTTCACCGCTTATTATGTATGCTATTCAGATTCTTATTAAAACTCAAGAGTTAAGTTAACGACTTTTGTTTCGTCCATAATTTATAGTTTTTATCATTTTTGACATAAAAATCCTCATGATTGCTAACATTCGACATGAATTCAGTGAGCAAACAACGTTTTTTAGCAATGACAATAGAATCATTACATTATTTAGTCATCGTTTGATACATACAGTCGTTTTGCTATTCAGAGCTTGTTTAGTTTGTACAAAGCTTATGTTCATAGCAACTTATATCTACATGTAATGTCGAACACTTCATTGGTCTGCTGCTACCCAAATAGATCGAAAATAGTTTCCTGTTGACTGTCTCCGAGTATCTAACAACTCAGAGATCTTTATGTACAAATAAGCACTTTAGTTAGTCTACCAGTCTTTTCTGTTGGTCTTAATTATAACTGGTTTCCTTGTATGTTTCATTGTCTTTATGCTCAAGTTAGCGGTTTACTTCTGTTGACATTTAATTTTGTTTCAAATGGATTGTTAGATCAGGTATAAATCTGTGCCTATTGATTGCTGACTCACCTAATTATTAAGCCTCAAGCTTTAGAGTTCCTACGATACAAACCTTCGATGATCGCACATTAAATTCATTTCCGTAGTTGTCCACAAGCATGGCTATCAGTGACAGTATATTGCGTCCTTTCAGAGAGAGTTAGCAGACGTATATGCGTAGGGTAAAAAGGAGTTCACTTTATCGAATGTAATGTTTGTCACAGTTGTACAATTTATTATTTGATGGCATTGAACCTGTCTTCTTTCGCTTTTGTGCTTTTTGCTCTACATAAGATAGAGTGGGATGATTATATTGGTTTCTAAGGAATTTTGATTCCAAAACGTTTTAAGATCCTCCTGGTAATTTCGGAGATTTCTTTACACGTACAGTGGGATTATCCTTATACTAAATCTGAGGTTGAATTTGTAATGGTGTGTTGAGATGTTAGATATTCTCCCGTGAATTAAGCAATGGAATAATCCAGTCTGTTGATATCGGATTAGGGCGTCTACTGCGTGTTTCATCCGGTCCAGCGACACTCCTCAGCAGTGCGCATCCACTAGCATGACTCGAACCCAGGGTCTTCAGTCTCGCACGCGAACGCTTGTTCTGCTGGACAACTGAGCTTGCACCTAATGGTGTTAATGTCTGATCTTAACAACCGTTGTAAACCTAGACTATTATGCAGGTCATAAGCTTTCGTTAGATGTATGATTCAATGCCATAGCCTTTTATGTTCTAAACCTATTGTAATTTAAACGTAATCTTTTGAACTCTATTTTCTACTCTAATCCCCGACCGCTGACGCTACCTTGATGTGGTGGTCAGACTTGCCTATCGTGATGAAGCAACCGAGCTATGCTGACTGGAACAATCGTTTTCAAGTTTCTACCACGTCAGAAAGGTCGGTTGAAGAACAACAAGATTGGAAGCGGCAAACCCAAGGTCCGAAGGCAAAGTCCTACTGCTGACTGTACAGAGGTGTGACGGCAGTAAGGTGTTTTCTTCAGACAACCAGCATCTGCAGCGATGCTGCCTTCCCACAAGGAAGGGTGGGGTTTGAAAAGGTCGACCTTAAAATGCACACCTCACCTTATCCACGGATATCCGTCTCCGTAGGTAAGGTCTCAATAAGTACGGAGCTAACACAAAAATTACCCATAAAAAGGTCGTATGTGCCCAACCTCAAGCAGTTGTACCTTGGGCACTGCAGTCACACTCTCAGGTCACTAAGACCACGACTAATCCAATTTCCTTTTAAGGTACCTCCAGAAGAACCCTTCCACGGTGTGGGCAACAGGGTAGTCATAACCGCCCTCATACCTCTAACACCACTCAAGACCGCTTTATTCAAAATCAACCTCCCTCTTTAATTCCTATTATTCCTCCTACATCAACTTTCAAATCTAAACTTCCTTTTTCGGCTTCTTCCTCAAGTGTCACCATAACCAACGATTCTAGTGCGCAAAACACTCCCAGGTCTATTGAAACCACGCTCCAAACCACACATTTCAGCCTTCAACTCACGCACACTATGTCAAATCGGTCAGCGACCCTCCTTGGCTGGAACCCTAGAATCTCGTACCATTGATTTATGCTGTGTCTCCGAAGCACGCATACAGGATCCCAGTGTGGTCATTCACTTGACCTCACCTCGGCAAAAGGGAGAGCCGACCAGTTAAATCCTCCGTGTATCTGGAGACCCGATGACCAGTTCTTGTGGACTGGCAGGTGTATGCATAGCACTAAGCATGGAGGCGGAACAAGCACTGTTAGAGTGGGGCCCCGTTAACAGTCGTTTATGTGTTGTTCGGCTAAATGGGTCGATGGAAGATTGTCGCTCATTTCGAAATACCTGCTTAGACTCCGACTATGCTCTATTACGAGCACGCTTCTCCTTGCGCCTCACTGGACGCAAAAAAGCCACACTAAAATGAGCCATTAGAAGTGAATTGAGTAGCGAGAAAACCAAATGTAGATTCCAGGAACAACTGAGGTCACACTTAGGTAGTTCTGAAAACGAGGCTGACCCAGATGTTGATTGGAAAGATATACAAACAGCTGTGGAAAAAGCAGTGACATCTATTAGTACTTAAACCACAGGGTTAAAAGAACCAATGGATTTCTTCAAGGTCCATTGTACTGATAGATTCTCGTAAACTCGTCCCGTCAGGCTCTGAACACGATGAAGAGCGAAAGCAAATCAGATCAAGGTTGACCAACAGTCTAAAGAACGACCGTGAGAAGTGGTCAGCAACGAAAGTAAAAAAGATGGAAAAGGTAGTAGCTGTAGGTAACATCAGAGAGCTTTTTAGACTAACAAAAAAAACTGGAACTAAAAATTCAAGTGTAAGTGAGACTATCTCGGAAAAAGACGACATTCCTATCTACTTCCAGTCCAGACGTTTAGAACGATGGGCGGAACATTTTAGAGAACAGTTGCGCTGGCCTTCAGCTACTATACAACTACCCTCCATTTCCAGACAGTGTGAATGGAACATTGAAATAGGTCCCCGACTGTAGCTGAAGTTCAAAAGGCTATAGTTAATCTGAAACGAGGAAGGGCAGCTGGTCCAGATGGATTGGCTTCAGAGGTCTTTAAGGATGGTGGTCCAATTTTAGCGATTAGGTTGACTAATATTTTAGCTAAAATCCCATCTGACTGGTCACAATCACTTATCATCCCAATATATAAGAGAGGGTCATAATCATCCTGTGACAACCATAGAGGGATCAGTTTAACTAATATAGTATCTAAAATATTGGCCTCGATAATTATCAGACGCTTAACTAAGACTCGTGAACTGCAAACACGAGAGAATCAAGCTGGCTTCAGACCTGGTCGTGGCTGCATCGACCACATATTCACCATTCGTCAGGTTCAAGAACACAGGCATACTCATAGGCATTTGACAATGGTGGTCTTTCTTGACTTAAAAGCAGCATTTGACTCGGTAGACCGCGAGATTCTGTAGCAGTGTCTGTCATTGAAAGGCGTACCTCAGAATTACATAAACCTTGTGAAGGCTTTTTACTCGAACACTACCAGTCGAGTCAGAGCTTATGGCGAACTGTCATCTGCTTTTGCAACCTCAAGTGGTGTCCGTCAAGGCTGTCCACTTTCTATATTCCTGTTTAACTTCATCATAGACCTACTAATGGAAATAATGCTCTCGTCGACTGAATTCTCGGGTATTGATATCCTTCCAGGAGGTCCACTTATCGACTTAGCATATACAGATAACATAGTCCTGTTCGGTGAAGACGCTGATAAAATGCAAAGTCGTCTGGTAGGACTGAGGAACAATGCCAGAATATTTGGGATGCGCTTCTCTCCCTCTAAATGCAAGTTGTTGCTTCAGGACTGGCCTGCGTCAACACCTAAACTAAAGCAGCCAGACTAACATCACGAAGGCGCCAAAGATGGCCCAGATAGGCATAAGCCGCTCTGGCTTTCACTATACGTGCATTGATCTCATCACTCACACCCCCAGGTACACGAACTTCTCAACTACTTCTATCTGCTCACCATCCAGAGTGAAATATTGCTTGCATCTGTGGGGATCACTGGGTAAGTAATAGTGAGGGAATGATGGTAAAACAGTTGATGAAGTTGTGAATTTTCATCGACTGAGATGGTTGGTCCGCGTGTCACATATGCCTAAACACCGATTAACACGACGTGCAATGCTAACCGGTGTTGGGGATGGTTAGAAGAAAGTTAAGGGCAGCCAAACCAAAACGTGGCATCAGTGCTTGAAGTCACCAACTTTTAGTCTGAGCCATGTTGCTAGATGTAGACTACTTGGTTTGGGTGCGCGTGACTATCGTAACCAATGGTTGGAGACTCTTGGTGACACGGCTCAGAATCGATCACAATAGGGCCGATGTATACACGCTGTCTTCCCTTAAACTAAGAGATTAAAATCACTTCATTTCCTTCTTTCTACTAACTAATTCTTTCTTCCTATACTGTATCCTTATATGCAATTTTTCATTTATATATTACCACCTCTGAATTAACCACTTTTATGAATCCGGTATCCATCTTGTTGTGTTAATGAGGTATGGCAACTTGGACCGATGCATATATGTGCCTGGTCCTACGTTGTAGCTGAGTGACTGACTGACTCTACTCTAATCCCTAGCTCTGGACATGGTTGTATTTTCCCAATTGTTTGTGCGCTGTGGTCTGGTTAATTACCTATTTCTTCATGTATCTTTTTACACTAATCTGAAATCGGGAATCAGATCGGGATTAGGAATAAATCGAGTAGTGTTCCAGTTGACTTGTCCTCTCTCACTCGCGTGCTTGTCAACCAAGCAGGTGATAGGACAGTTTTCGTCTGTTTATCTCAAGCAGTTGATCTCACCTCGAACTCCCACATGCTAGCCTCAAGGTTAATCCAGTCAGCCTACCGCGTCAAGGTCTTAATCTAGAATACACAAGTTATCCTCTGCACAAAAGTGGGTAGACAGATCAAGGACGTAACATCCTAATGACTACCGCTTTTAAACAATTAGGATTAGTTCTATTTTGACTGAATGCGTTAGAATAATATTAATGAGACAGAGCAAGATAAATCAGTGGATGAATTTATTGATTTTAATTAGTATAATCTAACCTATATATCAGACAGAAACCTGACAAAATTGTGAATCAATGAAATCACTATATAGTAAAACACACTGTCGTCTCCCACAAACGACCATAATATAGAGAAATTACTTCCCGATGGACAGCTTAATAGTAACACATCAGAGCAGAATATTTCTTATGAAAATAAAACAACTCACACAAATTAAAATACATTTTACCAAATAACAATATTATGAGTCTAGGATTATTTTTATTCACTTGAAGTTGATCGATCACTAATTTTCTGGGTGTTTAAAAACTGACAATCCTGTTAATTTCGGGGTTTCTGATAGTTCACTCTGACTATTGACGAATAGTTGAGTTTCTTCTGAAATACTTTCCTCTATGTTATTATGAGAGTTTTGTCGCCGTCATAATGATTATTTTTAATGGAATGGCTCGTATCACTATTACCATTACCACAACTATAAATAAATATACAATCAGTAGTGGTGGCAGTGGTACTATCATTGCTACATATCCAATTCACGTAATCATGATTCACATCAAATCTCAATGTGATATGATCAACTAAAATTGTTGCGAAATCCTTCAGCTCAACTTCTTCGTCTAGAAAAAGAGAACAAAACAAGTTAAAAAACAAAATAAACCCTGGAACAATTAGTCGATAGGTTTATTGATTATTGAAAATATGACGGAATAGTCGATGTCTGTAAATCAACATGCAATCAGAATCTTTGTAATCCTGGCTCTGCCCATCAGTACCATTTTGCAGATTACAGAATTTTCGTTACTACAGGCTGACATAAAACAATTAATACCAAAGTTAGGGAATGATTGTAAATCAATGCTTTTTGAATGTGGTGCACAATTTCATCGTCGAATAAGGAAAATGACGACTTAAAAGTGCACAACCATACACAGAACCCTGACAACCGTTAACTAAACTAAACAAACAGACAGGAGCAAATATTCATTTTAATCATTGAGATTAAAGAAAATTTCATCATAATGTCGCGGGATTGATTATATTTGGGAAAGAGAAAAATTACTATTCAATTCATTGATACCATTGACGATATGACTGAGTGGTTAGATTGTAGAATCGTTTCTCGCCTACAATTATGTATCCTTTTCTTTAAGATCACATTTCTATAATACCGTATAAGATCAGAGTTTGGGTTTTACAACTACAGTCTGAACAAACAAACGTATCTTTAATATATTGTACGTTCAAAGCGTGTAAATTTGCTATGTTTGAAGCGGTTACTAGTTCACTTAGACTGCGAACGGAACTAAGACTTGCAACCAAGGACCAATAAACTAGCTATTCCATTGCGTCCCAGCCCCGCTAACTAGAGAGAGAATTCAAAGTCCGAACGGGGAAGTATATTCCGCAAAAAGCCAGAAGCAGGGGCGATCACAGCAGACACAAATCAAAACATATATATACAGAACAAAACGGTCCTTGGGAAGCGTTACAAAATAGCATACTAAGAGATACAAGGGATCAATAGCGTTCAAGATTCTCCCAAGTGGGAAATACGACATGGAGGTGAAAAAAGCGCTTTTGGCGCGAAAACAAACAAATTCAAATTTTCAAAATAAAAGTACAAAATTAGGACTTTTTACAAGTGAGTTCTGTAGATCTAACGTCCGCAATAAAAATTAAAGTAATGTCAGTATAAGAATAGGAAAAAATATAATCAGCTACGGAGTTGTATTAGATCCCGTCAGATCGCATCGTTATGACTGCAAGGCGATTTCATGATATTTGGGAGTCTGATTATCGATTAGTTCATCTATGTTGCCAATAGAAACAGTGACCTATTCTTGCATTAATACATCGACCAACGGACAACAATCAAAACGTTTACACTTATTGATTATTTTTGCTGAACTTGCAGTGATGGTGGACATTCTGTCAAACACCTTTAACAGAATACATTAACAAGAATATTCTTTAGAGTATTTATTTCTGATTCTACTCTCGGTTGTAACACCATCACACTCTCTTAACAGGGGTGAACTATTCTGAGAAAGGCTAAGCCTATGATTGACGTTTTGAGTCGAGGGTGCTAATAGGACAATTACTTAATATTATTTGCACTTCTACGAGATAAGTATGGGAAGATTCATCACGTAACGTTTGTTCCTTAGAGATTACTGACAGCAACGGCGGTCAATTCATTCTCACACCTCACAGTAGCTAGACAATGGATGGTTGACGTAAGATTGCATCTGTTTCGAGGTTAACTCGATTCCCGCTTATCTCATTGCTACATGAACCGAAGTAATCCGGAGACTGCTATTACGGAGTTCAAACTTATTATTACTAGATATATCTGCTCGCATCCTTATTCTCTCAATAAAACGTAACAATCCCATATCGAACGAGTCGGTGTTTTAAGTATGCATCACCTCCAAATGTACTGCCAGGATTTCCACACACAAACACACAAGTACAATGAACTGTATATTTCAAGCTCAATCAGCTGTGTAGGATGTGTGATATTGAGCTTCCTCACATAAACTCTACTGACACAAACAGATGCAAACATAAACAATTTTTAAATATGGAACGTAAAACTATTATTTGTTGTTTAATGGCTAAATTATGTGTATATTGTATCAGAATGCAAATTAGTATTTATCTCTGATTTGTAAAGATAAGATATATCACAATGGAATGCTATGTAAATAAGAAAGTAGTATCATGCAAAACAAATTACAAGTATGAAACCTACGGAAAAAACACTCTTACGCTGAAAATGAGTGTTACTAATTGCTCTAAACAAGTAGAACAAAGAAAGATTCAATTCTGGAACTAAAAGAAATCAGTACTTATTTGCACGATTATGAGTAACGGCTAATTGTGTATGAATGTTAATAGTGATATAGCGCATGAACGGATAAACACCAAACGATAGGATCAATCCCAAGGTAGGATTTGATAGTTTTGAAGAAATTGACCATTGGACAGAAGGTTAATAATAAATCTACTTTTGTGATATCCCAATGAGTAGAAAATCGTATTTCTGACGTTTCGTAACTTAATATAAGTCACTTCTTCAAAGTAAATAAACGACAGAAATGAAACTAACACGACTTTATGTAGTGCAGTCAATCAGTAACAACGTAGAACTTCGTACGTACATACATCAGTTCGAGTTGCCATACCACATTAACACAGAGATGCAGTGGTCGATTCAAATCCCGTAGTGGTAGAGGTAATAAGAGTATGAGCAGTAATCGGGAAGATTGATGTTTGGAGATGTTACTTAAAGAGTATAATACAGTGAAATAAATTTGGAAAGAGAAAAAAAGAAACAAGGAGGAATAGGGAGATTCAAATTTGGATGCACCTGCGCCATCGCAAACGATTTTGAGCCATATCATTCAGAGTCTCTAACTATCGGTTGCTATCATCTCGCGGTCCCCAACCAGGTAGTCTACACCTACCAATATGACTCAGTTTACTTGTCAGTGACTTCATGGACTTGTGCCATGTTTTGGTCTGGCCGCCCCTAGCTTTCTTCCAACCTACTCCTATACCACTGAACATCGCACGTTGAGGCAGTCGGTCGTTAGACATACGTAACACGTGTCCCAGCTATCTCAACTGATGAAGTTCCATTACTTCATTAATCGATTTGCCATCCTTATCTAGTACCCGATCCCTAACAACTGTGTGACTTACTCGATGGTCCCAGGATATACGAGCAATATTTTGAAGGCACCTATGATCAAATACTGGTAACCTACGAATATCCTCTACTCTTACCGGTCATGTTTCACTGCCATTAAGTAGGACGGAACGAACTGCTGAGCAGTAAACCCGTCCTTTGGTTGGTAGACGGATATCTCGTCTACGCCATAAATGAGGCAACTTGGCAAAAGCTAGTCAAGCCTTCTTTATCCGTGATGAGATTTCGTCACACATCAGACCGTAAAAGCTGATGAGACTCCCAAAATAAGCGAAGCGGTCGACACGCTCAACTACTTCACTCCCTATCATCAGTCCAGGTACCGATGTAACTCAATCCTGTGGCAACACTTTGCATTTCGAGGTCGAGAATCGCATCTCGAACATGCTTGCTTTGTTGCTTAGAGTGGTCAGAAGACTCTGCATTTTGTCAGCGTCTTCACCAAATAAAACTATGTCATCAGCATATTCTAAGTCAACAAGTGAACCTCCCGGTAGAAGTTCAACCACTGGAAATCTAGACGAGGAAAGTGTTATCTCTAAAAGTACGTCGACGACAAAGTTGAACAACAATGGAGAGAGTAGACAGCCCTGACGAACACCACTTGAGGTAATCAATTCTGATGACAGTTCGCCATAAGCTCTCACTCTACCAGTTGTGTTCGAGTAGAGAGCCTTTATAAGGTTAATGTACTTCTTTGGTACTCCTTTTAGTGACAAACACTGCCATAGAACCCCACGATCAACAGAGTCGAATGCCGCCTTAAGGTCGAGAAATACTACCATTGTGGGGCGTCTGAATGTGTGTCTATGTTTTAAAACCTAACGTAGTGTGTATATCTGATCTATACAACCACGTCCAGGTCGAAAACCAGCCTGGTTTTCTCTAGTCTGTTCTTCACGAGCTTTGGCTAGGCGTCGAAGTATTATTGAAGCTAATGTTTTAGACACTATATTAGTTAAACTGATTCCTGTGTGATTGTCACAAGAGGACTTTTGTCCTTTCTTAAGAACTGGCACAATCAGTGATTGAGACCTGTCAGATGGGATTACGTCCAGTTCCCAGATTCTACCTAACACCTCAGTCAATCTCGCTGCTAATACTGAACCAACATCCTTAAAACTCTCAAAAGTAAACCTGTCAGGGCCCGCTGCTCTCCTACACTTCAGATTTCTTATAAATTTCTCAGCTTAGTAAAGGGTTGGTGGACTTACATCAACTTGCCATTCAGATTGACTGGAGATCGTGGGAAACCGAAGTGTGGCTGAAGGCCAGTTGAACTGATCCCTAAAGTGTTCTGCCCATCGATCCAATCTCCTGGATTGAGAATGAATAATATGTCCGCCTTTCTCTGAGATTGTTTCGCTAACGGTCGGGTTCCTAATTCCGGTTTCCTTAACGAGTCTGAACAATTGTCTGCTATTACCTATTGCCGCTGCCTTTTCCATCTGTCTTGCTTTCGCTACCCACCACTGTTCACGATCATTGCGTAGACTTCTTGTCAGCCTGCGCTTAAGCTGACTCCACTCTTCATTATGTTCAGAGCCAGGTGGAATGAGTTTCCGAGCATCTATCAGTGCGATAGATGCTGTTGAGATCCAGTGTTTCTCCCTAACCTTACGGGTTACCGTACTAGCAGACAACATTGCTGTTTCCCCAGCTTTTCGGATATCATTCCATGCTGCCTCGGGGTGGGCATCACATACATGGCTGCGTAACTGTTTTCCTGGTTGTTCCTGAAATATACTCTTAGCTTGACTATCATTAAGTAGGGCCCTAAGAGGTTTAATTGCAGCGTCATTCCTACGCCCAGTAGGACGCAGACAGATACGCGCTCGTACTAGAGCATGATCTGAATCTAAGCATGTGCTCCAGAATGAGCGACAGTCTTCTATCGAGCCCCTCCATCGGTGGCTGATAGTGATGTTATCTATTTGGGTCCAACGTTGGGACGAATTAGGGGGTCGCCATGTTAAAAGATGTTTTTCCTTATGCCTAAAGTTAGTATTTGCAAGAAAGAGGCGGTTATCTGAGCATAGCTGCAACAGACGGTCGCCAATATCTGTTCTTTGAGCCACAACACTATAAGATCCACCCAGGTGTCTTTCCCTATCGCTTAGTTTACCTACTTGAGCATTAAAGTCACCATCCACTATTACCACATCCGAGCGCCTAACTTTTAGGAGGAGGTCGGAAAGCTTTATGTAAAACTCATCTTTTACATCGTCTGAGCTGCAGTCAGTGAGAGAATAGGCAGAGGCAACGACGAGTGTCCCTATCTTTCCGAGTCCTTACTGTTCCGTTTAGTCGGACAGCGCACAAACGACTGTCTACTGGGATCCACTCTAAGAGAGCTAGTTCTGCCCTAGGACTCAATGCTATACCTACGCCAGCGAGGCCACGGGAAGCAGATTCAGGGTTTTCAGATACACGAAGCGTGAATCGAGTCGGTTCTTTATTTTGGCATGGTGAGGTCAGATGAATGACGCTACTCGGATCCTGTATGCGCGTTTCGGAGACGCAGTACACATCGATGGCGCGGGATTCTAAAGTTTTAGCTAAGGAAGCCTGCTGTCCTATTTGGCACAGGGTTCGAACGTTGAAAGCTCCTACGTGTAGTTTAGAGCGTGGTTTCAGGAGACCAGGAATAACGTTCAGCGTACTCGACTCGTTTGCCCTAGCGGTTCGAGGTGATAAAGAGACGTGAGGAGGGTTAGTCATAGAGATAAGAGAGGTATTAGGAGGTGTAGGAAGGATTTGAATGTGACCAACATGGTCTCGTGTGCTGTTACGGGTATGAGAGCTGATATCACTTCCTGGCTGCGCACACTGTGGAAGGGTATTTCTTGAGGAACCTAAAAAGGAAATTGGATTAGTGTTGGTCTTGACGACCTGGGAGCGTGACCGCAGAGCCCAAAGGACAACTGCTTGAGGCCGGTCGCGCACGGCCTTTTTGTGGAAGGTTTTTGACGTGTTAGCTCCGTTCTTCAAAGGGCCTTACCGCCAGAGACGGAAATCCATGAGGTAAGGTGAGGTGTGACATTTTTAGGGTCGACCTTTTCTAACCCCACCCCTCCTTATGGGAAGGCAGCATCGATGCAGATGCTGGTTGTCCGAGGGAAACACCTTACTGCTGTCACACCCCTCTACAGTCAGCAGTACGACTTTGCCCTCAGACCTTGAGTTGCTGCTTTTAGTCTTACCGTTCTCCAATCGACCTGCCTGGCATGGTAGAACCTACAGGAACATGTGTTCCAGCCAATATAGCTCGGTTGGGTCATCACGATAGGCAAGCCCGACCACCGCGTCAAGGTAGCAGCTTCGGTCGGGTTATGTAGTGCAATATGATATATTACCATACAAACATTTTGGTCATTTATTTACTTTGAAAAAGTGACTTACATTAAGCTACGAAACATCAGGAACACAATCTCCTACTTATTTGGATATCAAAAACATCAATCTAATATTCAAAAGATGGAGTGTGAAGTGTTAGTAAGGAGGTAATAAAAGTCAGATAACTCAATTAAGAAATCATTGTAAGTATAAAAGGTGAGTTCATAAGGATCAAATATCTGGATCAAAACCAGAGATTTATAAGTTCAAACCCGAACAATACTAATTTCTGTTTGGGTAGAAAGGTAGTATGACGTCACAAGGCTTCACATATAAGACAAAGATGAGTAAATAAACATATTTAAATCGATTGATATCTGAGTGCAAGTAACCAGTGTTATGTTCATCTAAAGATATGGGTCCGAATCTCATAGATTAATATCAGTTTCCGTGAAGATCGCAGCAAGTGCTCTTTGTTAAAAAGCCCGGCAATGAGCACAAAAATGTCTCAGAGTTTCCTGTCGAATACATTCAACTACATAAATCACAGATCCATAAAACTGATAGAATGTGGCTACCAATGAAATTGTGAACTCGCATTTCGTCCTACTTGAGACTCGTCACCTGGATGTGCCTGTATCCAAGAGTCGTTGTTCACTTTAGGAGTCAAACTAAATACCTTCCGCTTCAAATGTCTAAAGCGTTATCAACCAGGTTACTGAGACCACATAAACAGATGGAATGGCCGTCCCAGATTCCGCATAAACACAGAAATAAGCACGGACTAACAATATTGATATCACGAACCGACTTAATTTACGCATCCACTGAAACCAGGAAGCACTGCATAGCTATTTCGCTCAGGTAGTAGTCCGCATCCATGAACCCGTATCCGGTGATCGAACCATGAACCCCAGTTCTTGCGTGCTAACACGAAACCTCTAGACGAATCACCCGGCATCCAACGGTGATCAACATAAGAAATGTTCATGACATAAGTTGTTAAGATCCTACAATCTCCTCAAATCCAGAATACAGAAAATGGGGATCGTAATGTTGTTGTGAAGTGAACAAAGAATTAGTCGGGATAACCAATTTATTGTTTAACGTGAAATCACACAATGGCAAAGTAAAATATGAAAAGCATACATTAAACACATTTAGTTGTCCATGAGTTATATATATCCTAACCCCAAGTACTCACTACCCCGTCAGTCGACCTGACATACCGAGTACTGTGAGTCTAAGCTTAGAATCGCTAACTCTATAGTCCTAAATTATATGAGTATTACCTTGAAAACACTTATGATTGGGTACTAGTATCCTACAAATATCCTCTATTCTTAATCACCATGTTTCACACTCATGAAGTAGGACTGAGCAAAATGCTGAGTAATGAAGTCGCCCATCATTTGAGAAGTGGATAATCTCGCCTATGCCACAGGTGACCGAAGTTGAAAAAAGTCAACGGATTTTCTGAATTCGTGCCAAGATTTTGTCAAACATCAGATTATCAGGACTCAAGTTAAGCTAAGTATTCGATACTTTCAACTACTTCCCTTCCTATCATTAATTGGCGTGCTGACAGTGAAGTAACACTTTGTGTTTAGAGGGAGAGAATCGCATCCCAAACAAGTCCGCATTGTTTCTCAATGTGATCAGACGACTTTTATCTTGTCAGAGCCTTCAACGACGTTTTAAATTGCCTATTAATTCTAATTCTTCAACTTGAGTGATTGTTTCCTCCTATTTTCACTTTCCTTCAGAAACAAGTATGATTACTAGGTAGGTTACAGATAGTTTACGTGACGAGAGAACATTGATACAAAGTTGTGATTGATGAGTCACTCAGATGAAGAGAAAAGAACCGTACATGAACTATCATCACTATCAATATGAAGAAGTTAGTTTTATGGTGTAGTACACTTGACAATCACTTTTACTTTTATAAATGTGACAATGAATTACATATCACCTAAAAAATAAACGGAAAAGATGGCTCGTTACGTACAAATGTGAACTAAAAATGCTCCTCTCTCTTTATATAGTGAATACATTTCTTGAGTTTCACACTGATTTGTTAACGTTTGTTTTCCCAAGTCTCTGACCTATTTCCTATGTTGAAACACTAACTCAAGTATTAGTTCTAACACTACCTTACGATCCGTATTTGTATTTCTTAATGACTACGTTTGGTTACGCAACGTGCGTCGTAGCTACCATCTATCCGTAAACTGCTGTGATCAATTCAATGCTTCTTCATTTATGCCCATAAAAATATTTTTATATATGGTGCATGGCTAGTGGAAGTAAGATATGATTGGTCACTGAGCGCAGGCAAACAGATACTCGGCTTACACTTGGTGATTTTCCTTCCTATTAATGATTTCTGTTCTGAACTCAATAAGTGTAGACCGCTTTGTAATTGTGTTGAATAAAGTATTGTCTAATCTATGCTCTGGTTCTCTTATTTTGGTTGTGAATCATGTATCTGGTAAAACGTGGTTCAATCTGTTTTGTATCATATCGATCTAGTATCCAGTATATTATTAGCAAAACCTTGATCGCTAGTCGTACTATCGTTTATATCGTGAAAACAAAATATTTCTTTTTTATTATTATATCGGTATATATGAGAGTAAAACCTGACGAAGAACTCATTTGAAAACAATATTGCCCTCCTATTCATGTTCTAATTTACACGATGACAATTTTTAACGTCAGAATCACAATCTGTCTATACACACGCATAATAAATTCATAAATACAGAAAGTGAAAAGAAAAACATTATTACCGTCAAGTACTCACCTGTCAGTATCGGGTTACCATCAACATACACAGTATGAGATGAAAAATTAGTTAACCAAAATATACCATCTTTACTTAAGCGTATTTGACCATGACAACGTGATATACGTCCACTGTCAATACCTTCCATTGATAAATCGATATGCGGTTGATAAACGAATGAATTACGACCAAAAATGACCTAGAAAATATCAGCAAAGAAAGAAGGAAGAGTGTGATAAATTTCTTTTTTAAATGATGAGGAAAATTTGTAGCTCATGTGGAAGTAGTCTTCTCTATATGAGTAAAACTAAAGAAAAATTTTGAGAGTAGCCTTTAAGTAAAGTATAGCCGGAAGCCGAGTATATATATAATCAACATAAAATATGATACAGATGTTCATTCGCCCGAACTGACATTACCTGAATAGCACCACAAAATAAAAACAGCAAATTAGATCGAAATAATCTAGTAGCAAAAATTAGAAGAAAGACTAAGTCTTAAGAGTAAGGTTCGAAAAGCCTGAATGGAAAAGTATACATGGATAGAAATTGGAATTCAAGACTGAGAGGAAGATAACATATAGATGTATTGTTCTGTCGTGTACTATTGTTCAGTTTTGACTCCCTCAAGTTATTATTAATTAATTACGATTAGTCAGCCCCAACATTAACGATTTGATTTTATTTTATATAACAAACAACAATTCTTAATTCACATATTACAATTTCCAAATGATGTACTCTGTTTTAAATCTGGTCAATTTTATGGATTATTAATTTGGATTTATAATTGTAGAACCTGATGAGGAATTATTGAAAAGAATATTCTTCGTTCATACAATTGTGTTTTTAATATAATGGGAATTTTCCGGAGGTAATTACGAATCGATTACGTATTCTCTTTTCCACGTATAATATAGTTTCGTTCGTACTATAATTTCTTATTTATGCTGATGCGCTGTCAGATAACTAATCTATATTATCACATGAATTCTGAGTCATGAACTGAATTGTGTGGTACTGCAGAGGTTTTTCTACCTGTTGTGTTGTTCTGTTCTGGTCTTTGAGTAGGTGAGTGTGGGAAACTGTTTCCTGGGTTAATCGGTGTTAAGTATGTACTTCAGCCGCTATCTCAATGTCATTGAGTTACTTGTCAGAAAAAGTAAGTAAGTAAGTCTAACATTCAACCTAGGTGAATAAATCAATAATCGAACTATATAACATATAACTACTCCTATAATAGCGGCCCTACCACATGGGCATTGATACAACACAAAAATGGGGCTTTCTTGATATCACATCACAGAGTGAGAAAAATACATCAAAAACCTTTTTTTCTTTTATCAAAAATTGTGTTCTCGATCCCGTAAGAGATGCTAATGCTGGATAAATTGGTTGTGGATCCATTATTTCTAGACCATTAGTTACAAACATTTCAACTAGACGTGTCCAACGTCTAGCCTCTTCTTTATTTCGACGTAAACGTGCCCACAAACGTCCGCGACGTCGATGTAATTCTAATCGACGCTAAAACAGAACAAAAATTATTATCCAATGAATTATCAATTTCATCTTGGCTGGAATTATGAATATACATCGAAATATGAAGACAAAATCTATTCACAAATGATTGATCACTGGGTGGTGGTTGCAGGTAGTCAACGGAAGACCCTGGATCAGGGTCTCGTGCTATTTGACACTTGTCAGCAAGGTGTACCTGTAATGTTGAGGGTACTGGCTTTCCCTGACGGATTTCATCCCGTGTCACCCAGCTTCGCAGTCAGAGACATTACCACTGGGCTATCCAGGCCGCGAGTGACCTCCTGTAGGGCTGAGATGTATCCACAATAAATTGATCACTCAGTGGTGATCAATGTCATATGTGTTAAGTCCTTTTTAGTGCAGATCGAATACTATCGACCAAGTCGCAATGTAGCCACTAGTCTAAGTGACTCGACATCCGTCATGGAGAACCAGTTCCCTCAAGACTACAGGCACACTTTGCTGATGAGTGCCAAATAGCACAAAATCTGGGTCCAGGGTCTCCTGTTGACTACATCCAACCACCACCTTATCTCAGACAAAATCTATTTATAGGACAGGTATTAGTAACCTGCTTATGCAAATGGAAGATGGTCGTACAATATTGTGAATCGATTGAAGGAAGGGATATAAAATACTGGATCCTGACTCAGTGGTTTAAAGGTTAAGCGCTTGTTATATATTAATCAGCATAGAAATAAAGCATAGTAAATTACTAAAACGTTTGTCAAATCATTTCTCATAGATAGCAATCAATTATACTCGAGAGTTCGATTAAGTCACGTTACTATCGTTTGACAAACCTCTAGCGCTGAGGAAGAAGACTATGATTGAATGAGAAGCTTTATTATTGAAAGCCTAATAATAATTTCTACAACTCCAAAGACGGTTTTCTCTTGAAATATTAGAGGTCAGCTTAAACATATAGAGACAATTTTGAATCTATCTTTAATTTTGTCTAGAACACTGGCGTGTTGCCCACTGTTACACATTACTAAGAGGACTACCTTCACACGTAAGACCAAGCACTCTTGGGTTCCCATGTTTATTATGTAATGAAAACTACCCCTTAGACCAATGCGGAAGGTTTAGATATAAGGATATTAATGAAAAGATAGAATTTGTACTAAAGAAGTTGTGTCTGTTTGAAGGCAAACCACATAGGAAGAAACTGTCGGGCACCGGGGTCATGTGCCGTCGGAGGATGTGGCTGGAGACACCATACCTTGGTAAACAGGAAGCCGGAAGAGCAGAGAGATAGTAATAGTATTGTCCACATCAATACCGAACTCTGTACTGAGGAAAGTGTTAAACGTGTACAAAGACAAGTAGCAGAAAAGAAAATTGTTGACGTTAAACCCAAGGTTGCTAAACCGAAAACTATAATGCCTTCTGCTGTTAAACCCAAACCAACTCTAAAAAGCCTAATGAAAAGGTCACTGAACCGAAAGTCAAGACACCGAAGAAGCCAGTAACTAAGACCCTGAAGAAGAAGCAGCACATATTCACCGTGATATCGTACATGATGTTCAGAAAGGCGCCTTTGTACGAGTTGATAATAAGAGTAAAGGTGCATCTGGTAGCTTTAAACGAGCTAATGCTAGTCTTAGATTACGTGTAGTTGGGACCAAAATAAGATTGCAAATGCCCTTTCAGAAAGAGGTTGTGGATGGCATTTTAACATTCCTAGAGCTAGTCATTGAGGCAGTGTATATGAATGCATAATAAAGTCGATAAGAAGGATTCAACGATCGCTACTGTTTCAGAAGGTATTGACGGACGAGACTTTGGAGACGTTTTTAATAGAGGCTGAAGGAATACTGAGCAATCAACCACTCGTAAAGCTAGTTAATGACCGTGATAACCTGGATATACCCGCATCAAATAAGTTATTGTTAGTTCATAGAGGTGTATCATTCGATGAAGCGCAGATGAGTAAAACGTGCTTACATAACAGATGGAAGGAAGCACAACAACTAGCCAACCTATTCTTGAACGGATGGTTACAAGAGTACCTACCAACCCTTCATGCGACATGAGAAGAAATCTACAACCTGGAGATTTAGTGTCAACAAACAATACTGGCTCGCAGAGAAATCTGTGGCTGAAAGCTATAGTTAGACAGGTCCAGATGGACGAGTCAGAACAGTTTGGCTGAAGACAGCAAATGAAGAGATCAGCAGTGATATACGGAACCTGTGCCTATTGGAATAGGCCGATTATTTGAGCGCGGCAGTAGCGAAGTCAAGTCATTGTTTAAGCGCCCACCCCGTTAATCCGGTCGGATATGTCTGTCGACTATCCCTGCTGCATTTGACCTGCAAATTGAAGGACATTATTATAGTATTATATTAGTGTGACTCATAATTTTTTACTCATTTCGATAAAACACGCAGTACTGGTCGGTATGGTTGTGCGTCCCACTTGATGACTAAAATTCCTTTAATTACTGTACTAATCTAGTTGTTTTTATGTTTAGAAATAAAGTTGAAAGTCAAGTTGTCCTTGTTCTGACTACAGCTTTCACATAGACTCTGGGATCGCCAGTATCGCGTTTACAGTTCTAGTCGTATATCTGTAGGACAAATTATATCCTACAACAGATACTCCTCGGATGATTAGATACCATGTCACCCAGATCCACAGTCAAAAGAGACGTTATCACTGAATTATTTGGGCTGAGACTGACGTTCTGTAGGATTGAGAAGTGGTTAGAATTATTTAATCACTGAGCAGTGACCGATATCGTGTATACTAAGTCCAAAGAACGAAATGACAAAAGAAAAATCGAATATCATCTATAATATAAATTGTCCCAACTGCGAGGAACACTACATCGGACAAAGTAAATGGCCACTTCACCTTTGCCTGCACGAACACCGATTAGTGGTCAAACGCCATGAAGTATTCTCGCTTATATCAATCAACTGTGGATACACATCCGACCAAAAAAATCCTGAGGTCTTGGATAGAAGAAATTCTAAAAACACCAGAGAATTTTCCAAAGCTTGGCACTCAGGTCAATCAGCAATTAATAAACAAATTAAAATCGATACAATCTATCAACCAATCAGAAGAACCGTGGACAAATATAGGACCGAGGATCAAATCAACAGAAAATATAATCAAAACAAAGAAGTACACAATGACAGGTTAAAAGTCAACAATAGCCAATCAAGATCGAAGTCTACAGGACAAACTGCGTCGTATGTTGAGAAGTTCGAACACTTCACTTCTGTCTGAAGTTTGTGATGATGAAGTTGTTCAGAAGAACGATGAAAGCTCCACGACCAAACCAAATAGCTCAGAGAACAAAACACCATCAAAAGTCCGTCTTAGTGTTGATCTAACTCTATTGACCAGCCAATACTGCTCATAGTCCGGATTGTTTGATGGCGACGTCTCTTCTGACTGTCATATGATTCAATACTCTGACAAGCATAAGTTCCCTTAAGGTTGCAGACACACCTTATCGACGAGTGTTAAGAAGTACGAAACCTAGGTCGAGCAGGATTTTTGTCGACTACCTCCAAACACCATCTGACGTTTTAATATAGTGCATGGGACATCAAGTAGCCGAAAATAGTGTCCAGAATGTAGCTTGGTCGATAGAATCCAATCAGTACTAAGATTTGACATACAAGACAATGGCAACTACTACTCAGTGATTAATTAATTGTAAAGATGATGCCTCTACTAACTGTTTGATAGTTTTCATACATATTCAGTGGGAATTCAGCGTTAATGTTATGTTTTTTTATCAGAGGCAGACAATCTCCTCGTGTGAACAATGATGATGAGGACTACTGAAAGCTACTGTGAATCCTTAGCTCAGAGAAATCACTGTTGATAACCTCAAACTTTTAATTCTCTACATTATGTCGTCCTTCAATTACCAATAAACAATTTCTTGAAATATATATACAACAACGATGTGCAACAATACAATAACAGTACTAAACATTACGTGTAACAAAACTGATGTGGGAGAGAATCACAATGATTGGTTTACTTAATCAGACCTGTAGATGGTCTGACAGGCGTTAGATGAGTTATGTATTCTCCTACCCATATCATTACTGTGATTGTTGTCGGTTTTTGGTGCAGAAATGTACTTACGTTCTAGTCAGATTAGTCACGTGTTAGTATTCTGAGTTGTGTTGAATTCCTGTAGAATAGACACTGGGAGGGTATCTAGTATAGATATCTGTTTAATGCAAATTAGCGTCCTATACGCGTAGACGAGGAAAACCGAATGTTATAACAAAAACCTTTAAAAAAACATATTCATATGTTACTATCATGTGACTTTGTGGTGAGACTATTATTTATGGACAACTGTTGAGCGAATCGAAAGTGACCTTGAAAACGTCCACCAATTTACTAGAGCTAAATGAGGATTAGAAACTTGTGTGAAGGACAACTATTATGATTTACAGTTGATAGTTATGGTTAGGAATTAGATTTAGGGTTTTCATCACGAACCAAAATCAGCTAAACATGGCAAAACGCTATCTAACCAAATGGATGAATGAATTTAGCACCAAAATCTAAGACGAGTTATACTAAATATGATTTGTTCATTCACAAATTATCTCGATCGTTGCTGCTAGCTTGATGTGGTGGTCAGACTTGCCTATCGTGATGAAGCAACCGAGCTATGCTGACTGGAACAATCGTTTTCAAGTTTCTACCACGTCAGAAAGGTCGGTTGAAGAACAACAAGATTGGAAGCGGCAAACCCAAGGTCCGAAGGCAAAGTCCTACTGCTGACTGTACAGAGGTGTGACGGCAGTAAGGTGTTTTCTTCAGACAACCAGCATCTGCAGCGATGCTGCCTTCCCACAAGGAAGGGTGGGGTTTGAAAAGGTCGACCTTAAAATGCACACCTCACCTTATCCACGGATATCCGTCTCCGTAGGTAAGGTCTCAATAAGTACGGAGCTAACACAAAAATTACCCATAAAAAGGTCGTATGTGCCCAACCTCAAGCAGTTGTACCTTGGGCACTGCAGTCACACTCTCAGGTCACTAAGACCACGACTAATCCAATTTCCTTTTAAGGTACCTCCAGAAGAACCCTTCCACGGTGTGGGCAACAGGGTAGTCATAACCGCCCTCATACCTCTAACACCACTCAAGACCGCTTTATTCAAAATCAACCTCCCTCTTTAATTCCTATTATTCCTCCTACATCAACTTTCAAATCTAAACTTCCTTTTTCGGCTTCTTCCTCAAGTGTCACCATAACCAACGATTCTAGTGCGCAAAACACTCCCAGGTCTATTGAAACCACGCTCCAAACCACACATTTCAGCCTTCAACTCACGCACACTATGTCAAATCGGTCAGCGACCCTCCTTGGCTGGAACCCTAGAATCTCGTACCATTGATTTATGCTGTGTCTCCGAAGCACGCATACAGGATCCCAGTGTGGTCATTCACTTGACCTCACCTCGGCAAAAGGGAGAGCCGACCAGTTAAATCCTCCGTGTATCTGGAGACCCGATGACCAGTTCTTGTGGACTGGCAGGTGTATGCATAGCACTAAGCATGGAGGCGGAACAAGCACTGTTAGAGTGGGGCCCCGTTAACAGTCGTTTATGTGTTGTTCGGCTAAATGGGTCGATGGAAGATTGTCGCTCATTTCGAAATACCTGCTTAGACTCCGACTATGCTCTATTACGAGCACGCTTCTCCTTGCGCCTCACTGGACGCAAAAAAGCCACACTAAAATGAGCCATTAGAAGTGAATTGAGTAGCGAGAAAACCAAATGTAGATTCCAGGAACAACTGAGGTCACACTTAGGTAGTTCTGAAAACGAGGCTGACCCAGATGTTGATTGGAAAGATATACAAACAGCTGTGGAAAAAGCAGTGACATCTATTAGTACTTAAACCACAGGGTTAAAAGAACCAATGGATTTCTTCAAGGTCCATTGTACTGATAGATTCTCGTAAACTCGTCCCGTCAGGCTCTGAACACGATGAAGAGCGAAAGCAAATCAGATCAAGGTTGACCAACAGTCTAAAGAACGACCGTGAGAAGTGGTCAGCAACGAAAGTAAAAAAGATGGAAAAGGTAGTAGCTGTAGGTAACATCAGAGAGCTTTTTAGACTAACAAAAAAAACTGGAACTAAAAATTCAAGTGTAAGTGAGACTATCTCGGAAAAAGACGACATTCCTATCTACTTCCAGTCCAGACGTTTAGAACGATGGGCGGAACATTTTAGAGAACAGTTGCGCTGGCCTTCAGCTACTATACAACTACCCTCCATTTCCAGACAGTGTGAATGGAACATTGAAATAGGTCCCCGACTGTAGCTGAAGTTCAAAAGGCTATAGTTAATCTGAAACGAGGAAGGGCAGCTGGTCCAGATGGATTGGCTTCAGAGGTCTTTAAGGATGGTGGTCCAATTTTAGCGATTAGGTTGACTAATATTTTAGCTAAAATCCCATCTGACTGGTCACAATCACTTATCATCCCAATATATAAGAGAGGGTCATAATCATCCTGTGACAACCATAGAGGGATCAGTTTAACTAATATAGTATCTAAAATATTGGCCTCGATAATTATCAGACGCTTAACTAAGACTCGTGAACTGCAAACACGAGAGAATCAAGCTGGCTTCAGACCTGGTCGTGGCTGCATCGACCACATATTCACCATTCGTCAGGTTCAAGAACACAGGCATACTTATAGGCATTTGACAATGGTGGTCTTTCTTGACTTAAAAGCAGCATTTGACTCGGTAGACCGCGAGATTCTGTAGCAGTGTCTGTCATTGAAAGGCGTACCTCAGAATTACATAAACCTTGTGAAGGCTTTTTACTCGAACACTACCAGTCGAGTCAGAGCTTATGGCGAACTGTCATCTGCTTTTGCAACCTCAAGTGGTGTCCGTCAAGGCTGTCCACTTTCTATATTCCTGTTTAACTTCATCATAGACCTACTAATGGAAATAATGCTCTCGTCGACTGAATTCTCGGGTATTGATATCCTTCCAGGAGGTCCACTTATCGACTTAGCATATACAGATAACATAGTCCTGTTCGGTGAAGACGCTGATAAAATGCAAAGTCGTCTGGTAGGACTGAGGAACAATGCCAGAATATTTGGGATGCGCTTCTCTCCCTCTAAATGCAAGTTGTTGCTTCAGGACTGGCCTGCGTCAACACCTAAACTAAAGCAGCCAGACTAACATCACGAAGGCGCCAAAGATGGCCCAGATAGGCATAAGCCGCTCTGGCTTTCACTATACGTGCATTGATCTCATCACTCACACCCCCAGGTACACGAACTTCTCAACTACTTCTATCTGCTCACCATCCAGAGTGAAATATTGCTTGCATCTGTGGGGATCACTGGGTAAGTAATAGTGAGGGAATGATGGTAAAACAGTTGATGAAGTTGTGAATTTTCATCGACTGAGATGGTTGGTCCGCGTGTCACATATGCCTGAACACCGATTAACACGACGTGCAATGCTAACCGGTGTTGGGGATGGTTAGAAGAAAGTTAAGGGCAGCCAAACCAAAACGTGGCATCAGTGCTTGAAGTCACCAACTTTTAGTCTTAACCATGTTGGTAGATGCAGACTACTTGGTTGGGGTCCGCGTGACTTTCGTAACCAATGTTTAGAAACTCTTGGTGACATGGCTCAGAACCGATCATAATTGCGTCTCTAGTTAAAGCGTGAGATTAAAATTAATTTATACATTTCTGCGAACTAATTCTTTCTTACTGTATTATATCCTTATACACAATCTTTCTTTTATATATTACTACCAATGAAGTAACTACCTCTACGAATTTGGTGTCAGTCTTGTTGTGCTAATGGACATCTAAGATGCAGTTGGATGATCTAGACTTCGCAGACGATCTGACCCTTCTATCCCAAACGCAACAACAGATGCAGGAGAAGACAAACAGTGTGGCAGCAGCCTCAGCAGCAGTAGGTCTCAATATACACAAAGGGAAAAGCAGGATTCTCCGATACAACACAGGATGCATCAATCCAATCACAAGTGACGGAGAAGATTTGGTAGATGTAAAAACCTTTACATATCTGGGCAGCATCATTGATGAACAGGGTGGATCTGATGCAATTGTGAAGGCGCGGATCGGCAAAGCAAGAGCAGCATATTTACAACTGAGGAACATCTGGAACTCAGAGCAACTGTCAAACAACACCAAGGTCAGGATTTTCAATACAAATGTCAAGACAGTTCTACTGTATGGGGCAGAAACCTGGAGAACTACGAAAGCCATCATTCAAAAAACACAGGTGTTTATTAACAATTGTCTACGCAAAATACTTCAGATCCGTTGGCCGGACACTATTAGCAACAACCTACTGTGGGAGAAAACAAACCAGATCTTAGCGGAGGAAGAAATCAGGAAGAAGCTCTGGAAGTGGATAGGACACACATTGAGGAAAGCACCCAACTGCGTCACAAGACAAGCCCTCACTTGGAATCCTCAAGGCCAAAGGAAAAGAGGAAGACCAAAGAACACATTACGCCGAGAAATGGAGATAGACATGAGAAAAATGAACAAGAATTGGATGGAACTAGAAAAGATGGCCCAGGACAGAGTGGGTTGGAGAATGCTGGTCAGCGGCCTATGCTCCATTGGGAGTAACAGACGTAAGTAAGTAAGTTGTGCTAATGAGGTGTAGCAAGTTGGACTGATCCATATATGTGCCTGGTTCTACGCTGTAGCTGATTGACTGACTGATCATAAATTATAGTCTCGCCTCTTGTTTTTTTAATAACTAACACAAGTTGGTCAATTACTTTTGTTTATGAAGTCTATTGTAAAACGTTTAGTTTATCATATGGTTTGTGTACTTTGGTTTAAATTGATAATATTACATAGGTAACTAGTGTTTGTGAAATCGTAAGTTTCTTGGTTCAATGATAGATTCCTACAGTATCGTGTCAATCTTATTCGACTAAAAAAATCTACCAAAATAAGTAGTCGTATTTTTCTGCGAAAATTAACTCCATACATTTTCACCTATAGAAATTCGATTGAATGAACAGACGATTTAAGGATGTTAGCGGGACATAGACTGGGTTAAAGCATGCTCAATGCACGATTGCTTTGGTGCACGCTGATTGGTTAATTCTTATCTAATCAGCACTAGTCGATACTTGGAGAATACTCTAGAATCTTTTCATGTAAAAACTATAAATATACTAACGTTTTCCCTATTGTGCTTCTTACTTCCACCTAACCTTGTGATTTGGAATATAATCTCTTTCCTGTTCAACCGTGTTCTGATTTGGGGACTTGTCGAGTGAATCGGTGTACGAGAATACTAAACAATAGGAATAGCTGGGTCATAACCTGTAAGAGACAAATATAACAAAGGATGATAACAATCGAAGGTTTCTCGTTAACTATTGAACTGGACTAGTAAGTTGAGGTTATTCGCAACTTGGTATCCACAAGGAAGGAAAAGAAATAGAGTAAAAAACACATGGCTGCGATACTTTAACGTGGACATTAGGACCATGAATGGCACCTAACACTAACTGGGAAAGAGAGCCCAAGATAAAGTTGATTGGAACAAAATTAGTTGACGCTGTCAAAACAATAAGTTTGCTGTAACAGTAATCAAAACTGTGAACAAATGACTGAAAAATAGCTGACTACGCCTATTATAATAAACCATAGTTTTGAAGAATAGATTTCTACTTCCTCACTTACAGCAACAACACAACTACTCAATAATTAGAGTAGAAAAATACTTACTTTAAAATCAAATTCTTGATTACTTAGTAATGGCGGTACAGGTGATGAACTTATAAAGGACAATAAATGTGATTTATTACTTGTTTCTTGTATTAGTAGTGAGTGACTCTGATCATGGTCGATTGACGATTTCAACTCTAGATCTGTTGCTATTGCTCCACGTGTACTGGACGTTGTTGTTGTTGAAGAAGAAGCGGCAGAAGTCGGAGAAGAGTGATGCTGTAGACTAGGATGTACAAGTGAATCATTTAATTGACTAGAATATTCTTTAAGGAGTACTTCCAAGACTGTTTGTGTAACAAGACCTTGGAAACCATGATATGATGTTTGATTTAGCATATGTTGTCTACGTGACACTGTCGATGGTTCAGTTAATTTAGGGATTCCTGCAACGACTGCATTGGTTACTGTCTCCTCTAATAATAATTCTGTATCAGAAAAACTTTGTGGATCACCACCTAATGCTATAGAATTAGAATAACCAACATTTTTCAGCAAAGATATACCATCACAATTTTTTATTGCTGTTGTCGTCGCACCTGTTGTTTTGACATCTGGTGAAGTCGATAATGAGGTGTTAAAGTTAGGTATTGACTTCAACTTTACACCATCTTTTACAACGATGCAATGGCAACTGTAGAAACGACACCACTGACGATATAAATCTAGTTCATCTCGTCCATGGTAGAATACTGTTGGATATTTGCGTAAAATTTCTGTAAATATGGAGGGATTCTAGGATAACGAATGAAAGAAAACACGTGCAGAAATCAATCACGTATATTCATTAAATTTCTAATTGGAAAACTTTCAAAAAAACAGATGGGGTAATTATTCATTATAATTCAGTTATGTGGAAGAGTCAATCTATTCAGCAAGGTACAAAGGAATATGACTACTTTACACTGTCCAAAGAAGGACAAGATCCCACCTTATGTTACAATCAACCATACCTATCACCGGTTCGTATGGATATATTAAAAAACAATAAGCATCAAAAAATAACCGATAAGATTATTTTAATCCAAACCTCTAAGGAAATCTTATTAAATTAGTGTGGAGGGATCTGTGAAGATTGTAGAATTTTCATAATTTAAATCGCGAACTGATCTAACTAGACCACCATTGAAACCTGAGAAAGAGTGAACTGCCGTTTCACTCTAGTATGGGACCGCCTAACAGTGCGCAGCTGCGACCCTGCATCAGGAAATCATACCCAGGAACTTTCGTATCGCGCGCTAACACGACCTATAGACCACTGAGGTGGCATCTAACAATGCACATATCTAACATCAGGCGCGGGACTGAAGACCCACGGTCCGATCCCCGACGCCTAGTCGTGGATAGGCACTGCTGGAGAGTCCCATACCAGGAGGAAACGGCCGTCCAGTGCTCTCAGGTTTCATTAATGGTCTCGTTAGGATCAGTTTGTAATATGACAAGACGTCTTTTCTATAACCATCAACATCAAAGGTTTAAACCTTGTTTATTTATGTTATTATTAGTAGTAAGAATTTGAATTATCCCGTTGTTTGATATTCAGGAGTGAATTTAAACAGCCTTTGTTGGTATATATGCATCCTGTGCAAATAGCCTCGATATAGCCATTTTGTTACAATGTTTATGGATCAGATGGATTTCGCCTGGTACTGGAATTCATAATACTCCTTTAGTCCTATTTTGAACTCGTTAGTTGGATGGGTCAGCACCGCGGTGTAGGTATTCGCACTGAGACTCAAACGCAGTAAGAAGCTCAGTAGGTAATCCGCTGACATTTAAAACGAAAGGTTCGAGTGGTAATGTGAACATCAACACTGAGATCAAGGTACATTCAGATGAGTTTGAAATAAGGTGAAAATTGTGTTCACTATTTCCCTGTTACTCATGATCCACCTATCCCGAAGTATTTATATCTAAAAAATTATCAGAAACTATTTTCCATATTTTTGAAACCTCTCGTATTTATATAATTTACTCAGATTTATCTCTTTTCTAATAGTATTTTCTAATTTACCGTTCAACAAATCAACTTCATGTTGGAAAAGATATTCAAAGCTATAGAAAATCGCAATACTTACTCACTATCTGATGTTATTTTTATTGAGTGAAGTTTTAATTTCCAGATTTTTTCACTTCTAAAGTCCCACCATGGGGGCTCATCGTCATGTAAGTTTTAAATCAAAAGATATTCCCAAACACAGACTGGGTCATCCCATAGACATACCATATGCTAATGCCTTTACACAACCTCAGGGTCAGACGGAAGGTAAGAAATTACAAGCAATTAGAGTAAGTCGATCATGCATTACCGTAGTTTTTGTATGAACTAATGATTCATTTGTACTTGGTGACTGCCTGATTTCGAATTCCAAATACAATATGTTTATTTGCGTTCACTTAGTTCTATTTGGCCTTAATTACGCCATTTCGAGGATTCCTAATTCGTATAATAATTCAAATACTTTTACCCATCATAGTTACTATTTTCGAAAAACCTTCCCGCAAAAAGGCCGTGCGCGACCGGCCTCAAGCATTTGTCCCTTGGGCTCTGTGGTCACGCTCCCAGGTCGTTAACTTACTTACGCCTGTTACCCCCAATGAAGCATAGGCCGCCGACCAGTATCTTCCAACGCACTCTGTCCTGGGCCTTCCTTTCCAGTTCTATACAATTTTTGTTCATTCGTCTCATGTCTGTCTCCATTTCTCGGCGTAATATGTTCTTTGCTCTTCGTCTTCCCCATTGGCCTTGACGATCACATGTGTGGGCTTGCCTTGTGACGCAGTTGGGTGCTTCCCTCAATGTGTGTCCACCCGATACAGTAGAACTGTCTTGACATTTATATTGAAAATTCTGACCTTGGTGTTGGTTGGCAATTGTTTTGAGTTCCAGATGTTCTTCAGTTGTAAATATGCTGCTCTTGCTTTGCCGAACGTACCTTCACATCTGCATCAGATCCACCCTGTTTATCAATGATGCTGCCCAGATATGTAAAGGTTTTTACATCTACCAAATCTTCACCGTCAAGTGTCATTCGATTATTGCATGCTGTGTTGTATCGAAGTGTTATAACTTGTGGCCTGAGTGTGACCTGTTAATGGATAAGTAATGATACCGCCAATTAGAGAGCAGTGACTTATCCATCGGATCAATGACGCGTAAACCCGTATGAGCAGTCTAAATTCCTGATTGGTCTCGCTTCCTGTCTAGTCCAGTCAGTTAAGTCCAGAACACCAATCCGAGCCTCTGCTGTATAAATAGTTAAGTTATTTAACAATTATACGATAAAAATATACGTTTAGTATTGATTCATAAATGGATCCTAGAAGTTACCATTCATTATGCTTATCGGGAGATAACACGGAGATATTTGTTTTTTCCTTTGTGTATGTTGAGACCTACTGCTACCGAGGCTGCTGCCACATTGGTCGTCTTCTCTTGCATTTGTTGTTGCGTGTGCGATAGAAGAGCCAGATCATCTGCAAAGTCTAGATCTTCCAGCTGCATCCTAGCCGTCCACTGTATCCCATGCTTTCCATCGGATATTGACGTCTTCATGATCCGGTCGATCACCAGGAGAAAGAGAAAGGGTGAGAGTAAGCAACCTTGCTTGACAACGGTCTTTACCTCGAACGAGTCTGTCAACTGTCCTCCATGCACGATTTTGCAGTTTAATCCATCATAGGAATTCCGCATGATATTGACTATCTTCTCAGGTACGCCGTAGTTTCGAAGAGGCTTTCATAGTGATGTCCTGTCCACGCCATCAAATGCTTTTTCGTAGTCAATGAAGTTGATGTAGTGTTGAATTCCATTCAACTGATTGTTCCACGATGATCCGTAGTATTGCGATTTGGTCTGTACACGACCGATCATTACGGAATCCCGCCTGTTGGTCACGAAGTTGGGTGTCGGTGGAGTCCTTTATTCTGTTTAACAATACTCTGTTGAAGACTTTTCCCGGTATTGAGAGAAGAGTGATGCCCCTGTAATTATCACAGTTGCTGAGATCGCCTTTCTTTGGTGTTTTGACCAGAAGTCCTTCTTTCCAGTCTTTTGGTACTTGTTCCTCATCCCAAATCTTACTGAAGGGAATATGGAATATCTTTGCAGTTACTGCTACGTCTGCTTTCAGTGCCTCTTTCGGAATGTTGTCTGGTCCTGATGCTTTTCGCTCTTGATTTGTTTGATAGTCATCCTGATCTCTTCGACTGTTGGTGGGCCAACATCGATTGGGTGGTCCGTGGGTGCTACTTCGACGTTGGGGGAGGGGTTCAGTGGGGCAGGTCGATTCAAGAGTTTTTTGGAGTGCTCTACCCACCTGTGTGCTTCCTTCTCTTGCAGCCATTTCTGCCGTCATTTCTAAATCTTCCACATATTTGCGTTTGTCGGTTCTGATGCTCCTCTTCGCTTGCTTGTTTACTTCTGTGTATTCAGCTTGTGCCTTGGCTTTCTCTGCTCTTGTTCGATAGGTATTGATTGCTGCCTTGCTGTACCTCCTTTCTTGAATCTAATCCAGTGTATCAACAGTGGTCCATTCCTTGTGATGGTGCTTTTTGTGGCCCAGAACCTCATGACATGTTGATGTTATTGCCTCGTTTATCACTTCACAGTTGCTCTCGATAGTGGTTCCCTCTCCACTGAATAGATCATGGAAGGCCTAGAACTTATTTCTGAGGGCTATCTTGAATTTGTTGAGTTTGTCAGTATCCCAAAGAAAACCCGTACTAGAATCCTGTGATGTTGTCCGCCCCACTGTCCAGTGCTTCTTAAGTTTCAATTTCATTTTGGCGACCAGCAAGTGATGATTTGATGTTACATCACCTCCTCTCCTGGTTCTCACATCCTCCATCGTCCTCCTGAACTTTTTGTCGATGCAGATATGGTCGATTCGGTTCAGCGTAGTGTGAGCCAGCGAAGTCCATGTGGTTGTGTGTATGCATTTGTGTGGGAATATAGTGCCGCTTATGACCAGTTTATTGAAGGCACATAAGCTTGCAAATCTCTCACCATTTTTGTTTCTTCCTCCTAGTTCATGTCGTCCCATGATGTCTTCATATCCGGTGTTAGCCATTCCAACCTTGGCATTTAGATCTCCCATCAGAATGGTCAAGTTCTTTGTTGGGCACTTCTCGACAATTGACTTCAGCCAATCGTAGCGTCGGATGACGTTCATTGTAATGCCCTCTCTCTTTGTTCTGAAGGAGGCTTTGATGATCCTTGGTCCATGAGATTCCCATCCCACAAGTACATTTTGTGCTTCCTTGGACAGCATCAATGCAACTCCTTGTGCTTGTGGAGCATTTTCTTCATCATGGCCAGAGTATAGCAGAAGCTCCCCTGAAGCTATTCGTTGTTGTCCAACCTGCGTCCAATGTGTTTCACAGACCCCAAGCACCTCCAGGTTGTATCTCCTTATTTCTGCAGCAATTCGGAAAACTTTCCCGGTCTCCCACATTGTACGAGTATTCCATGTACCTAAATAAATAGTTGCTCTGATTATCAGAAGGGGCATGGGCCTCGTGACTTCCGAAGGAACTCGACTCGATGTCTGGTTTCAGTGCTTCAGATGGTATGTTGTCGGGTCCTGCTGCTTTCCCGTTCTTGATTTGTCTGACGGCCATTCTAATTTCTTCCGTCGTTGGTGGGTTGACATCTATAGGAAGATCTATGTGTGCTGCTTCGATGTCCGGTGGATTCATTGGAGCCGGCCTATTCAGGAGTTCCTCGAAGTATTCTACCCATCTGTTACGCTGTTGTTGAATTTTGGTGATTGGCTTGCCTTCTTTATCTTTGACCGGCCTCTCTGGTTTACTGTATTTCCCTGCTAGTTTCTTCGTTGTATCGTAAAGCTGTTTCATATTCCCTTCTCTAGCAGCTTTTTCTGCCGTCGTTGCTAATTCTTCCACGTAATTCATCCTGTCGGCTCTAATGCTCCTCTTCACTTGCTAGTTTGCTTCTCTGTATTCAGCTTGTGCTTGGACTTTCTCTGCTCGTGTTCGGCTGTTGTTAATTGCTGCCTTCTCGTTCTTCCTTTCTTTCATCTTGTTCAGTGTTTCTATAGAGATCCATTCCTTATGATGGTGTTTCTTTAGGCCCAGAACCTCTTGACACGTTGAAGTCAATGTTTTTTTGATGCCTTTCCAGTTGTCCTCCAGAGATGCAGTGGTCGATTCAAATCCCATAGTGCTAGATGTAGTAAAATTGTAAGCTGTAATCAGAAAAATTAGGGTTTGAAGATGTTATTCAAGGAGTATAATCCAGTAAAATAAATTTGGAAAGAGAAAAAACAAAGGGACATGAAGAATTCAGAAGATTAGAATTTGGGAGAACACAAAGAGTGGATGCACCTGCGCCACTGCAAACGATTTTGAGCCATGTCATTCAGGGTCTCTAACCATCGGTTGCTATCATCTCGCGGTCCCCAACCAGGTAGTCTACACCTACCAATATGACTCAGTTTACTTGTCAGTGACTTCATGGACTTGTGCCATGTTTTGGTCTGGCCGCCCCTAGCTTTCTTCCAACCTACTCCTATACCACTGAACATCGCACGTTGAGGCAGTCGGTCGTTAGACATACGTAACACGTGTCCCAGCTATCTCAACTGATGAAGTTCCATTACTTCATTAATCGATTTGCCATCCTTATCTAGTACCCGATCCCTAACAACTGTGTGACTTACTCGATGGTCCCAGGATATACGAGCAATATTTTGAAGGCACCTATGATCAAATACTGGTAACCTACGAATATCCTCTACTCTTACCGGTCATGTTTCACTGCCATTAAGTAGGACGGAACGAACTGCTGAGCAGTAAACCCGTCCTTTGGTTGGTAGACGGATATCTCGTCTACGCCATAAATGAGGCAACTTGGCAAAAGCTAGTCAAGCCTTCTTTATCCGTGATGAGATTTCGTCACACATCAGACCGTAAAAGCTGATGAGACTCCCAAAATAAGCGAAGCGGTCGACACGCTCAACTACTTCACTCCCTATCATCAGTCCAGGTACCGATGTAACTCAATCCTGTGGCAACACTTTGCATTTCGAGGTCGAGAATCGCATCTCGAACATGCTTGCTTTGTTGCTTAGAGTGGTCAGAAGACTCTGCATTTTGTCAGCGTCTTCACCAAATAAAACTATGTCATCAGCATATTCTAAGTCAACAAGTGAACCTCCCGGTAGAAGTTCAACCACTGGAAATCTAAACGAGGAAAGTGTTATCTCTAAAAGTACGTCGACGACAAAGTTGAACAACAATGGAGAGAGTAGACAGCCCTGACGAACACCACTTGAGGTAATCAATTCTGATGACAGTTCGCCATAAGCTCTCACTCTACCAGTTGTGTTCGAGTAGAGAGCCTTTATAAGGTTAATGTACTTCTTTGGTACTCCTTTTAGTGACAAACACTGCCATAGAACCCCACGATCAACAGAGTCGAATGCCGCCTTAAGGTCGAGAAATACTACCATTGTGGGGCGTCTGAATGTGTGTCTATGTTTTAAAACCTAACGTAGTGTGAATATCTGATCTATACAACCACGTCCAGGTCGAAAACCAGCCTGGTTTTCTCTAGTCTGTTCTTCACGAGCTTTGGCTAGGCGTCGAAGTATTATTGAAGCTAATGTTTTAGACACTATATTAGTTAAACTGATTCCTGTGTGATTGTCACAAGAGGACTTTTGTCCTTTCTTATCATATCAGACTTCATGGTTTCCGCATTTTCATACCAATTACTTTCTGTTCTCGATCCTTTCTACTCGATCTTCTTGACCTTCTGCTATGAGACATTTTACTCCTGACTAGCGTTATATACTACTTATGTATTTTTGTACTTATTATAGACAGAAATGTTCATCACTCTTGTTTTCCTATAGTCACGCATATATGATAATTTCAGTGTAAAATTGTCACTATTTATCAAACAGTTTACACACAAGTTTTATACATTAATAATAATAATAAAGCAGGATCACTCTATTGATTTTTCCGTAAAACGGTTACTAGTATTTGATCATAGGTGTCTTCGAAGCATTGACCATATATCCTGGGACTAACAAGTAAGTAACGCAGTTGTTAGGAAATTGGTACTAGGTAAGGATGGCAAATCGATTAATGAAGTAATGGAACTTCATCAGTTGAGATAGCTGGGACACGTGTTACGTATGTCTAACGACCGACTGCCTCAACGTGCGATGTTCAGTGGTATAGGAGTAGGTTGGAAGAAAGCTAGGGGCGGCCAGACCAAAACATGGCACAAGTCCATGAAGTCACTGACAAGTAAACTGAGTCATATTGGTAGGTGTAGACTACCTGGTTGGGGACCGCGAGATGATAGCAACCGATGGTTAGAGACCCTGAATGACATGGCTCAAAATCGTTTGCAGTGGCGCAGGTGCATCCACTCTTTGTGTTCTCCCAAATTCTAATCTTCTGAATTCTTCATGTCCCTTTCTTTTTTCTCTTTCCAAATTTATTTCACTGGATTATACTCCTTGAATAGCATCTTCAAACCCTAATTTTTCTGATTACAGCTTACAATTTTACTACATCTAGCACTATGGGATTTGAATGAACAACTGTATTTCTGCGCTAATGTGATATGGCGACTCAAACTGATGTATGTACGTACGAAGTTCTACGCCGTTACTGACTGACTGACTGATCTAGCGCTTAAGGCCTTCGACTTCTAGACACTAAGTTCCAAATCTGAACCCTGCCAAGCCTACTTCTGTCTGAGGGCCAGGATGGGCTATCATCAGCCCCCATACCTGGAGTGTGGCACGTAGCCAAATCCTTGGCGAATGAATAAATGTAATGCAATGCATTCTAAATTTATCTTCAAGTAAAGTGATCACGCTGCCAAGGCACAGACGACCGGTATGGATGTCAAGACATATTATATTATATAAAACGTCTTGAACTGAAATAAAGTATTTACATTCGATCCACAATCCTCAAACAAAGGTGTCCGAATATACGTATACGTATATGTGCACAACGGTAAAAGCCCATAATCATTTGTAAGAGAGCCCTGAATGCCCTGGTACGGCCGAGAGTGGGGAGAGTCCGCTCTCCCTCTCGAAATACTCTCACACGGCCACGCGTATATAGCCTCTGCCAGGGAAGTCCTACTCATTGCCTTCTCGTGGCGGGGGTGTTGTTTACGAAAATGAGAGGACGAGAAGCGAATGTCCGGCGCTTTAACCGGATTCCAAACCAATGGTGCACATGGGCTCCAGTATCCTGCGGGAACGAATGGCGTATGAACCAATCGTTGGTCACCGGCTACCATGGGACTGCATCTCCTTACGATGCTCCACTGCCTTGTGGGTTAGACCTTTAGGTCAAAGGCTCGGGGAGTGGCCCCCTAAGATAACCACCTGCTTCGGTTTGGGCACCCGGGCAGTATCACAGCCCACACACAAATGATGAACTGTTTATGTCTATGGAAACTACTTTTGTCGCTTTGAAAAACAATCAATTGATTCAAATTATGATCACTTCAATTATTGTCATTATTAATAATAATATTATTATTACTACTATTATTGTCATTATTGTTATTATTATCATTATTATTATTATTTTCCACATTATTCACCTTCTTTTATACTTATACAGCGGCTCGTCTTTGGTGGAATTCCGACTGTATCTAAACGTTCTCGAGTCACTGTCCGGTTGAAAATTGTATGTTACCACCGAATACGAGGACTGAAGCAGATTTTCTGAAACCACGTGCATCATTCAAACTGGCTGCCTTCAACGTTCGCACATTTATGCAGGTCGGACAACAGATAGGGCTGGCTATGTCTTTGGAAAGTCTTAATATCGACGTGTGTTGTCTATCCGAGACCCGTATTCAAGACTCTGGCGAAGTACTACAAATTCGATCTCCATCTGTCGCTTCGAAAAGCTTGTTTTACGTGCGCTTATCCGGGGACCCTGTGGCATCTTCGTCTGGTTTTGCTGGCGTTGGTGTCGCACTAAGCGCTAGAGCTGAGGCAGCACTAGTCGATTGGATCCCCATTAACAGTCGGTTATGTGCTGTTACATTAGAGAGTTCCATCAAAGTGAGAAGAAATCGGCGTGAGAAACGATGTCTTTTCGTCATCTCCGCCTATGCCCCGACAGATTGCAGCCCGGATGCAATCAAGGATGAGTTTTACCACCAGTTATCAGTTCTTCTCCAGAAAGTGCGTTCGACAGATATTGTAGTACTAGCCGGAGACTTGAATGCTCAGGTCGGGCGTCTAGGCACAGAAGAGAGTCGTTTAGGTGGCCGATGGGGACTCGTTGGTCGCAGGTCAGATAACGGGGACCGTCTACTGCAACTTTGCGCAGACCACAACCTGTTTCTGGCTAGCACTAACTTTCGGCACAGTCATCGCCGATGTGCCACCTGGCGTCCTCCCTCTGCATCTCAAGCCTGGACTCAGATTGATCACATCGCGATCAGCTACCGCTGGCGTGGTTGTGTACAAGACTGCCGCTCCTTTTGGAGTACCTATCTGGACTCTGACCATGCCTTGGTCTGCGCCAATCTTGCCTTACTTTTCAGTGGACAACGAAGTGAACGCCATCAACGGATTGATGTTAGCAAGCTGGTTGCAACTTCTGTTGCAAGTAAGTATCGAACCGAGCTAGCCTCTAGGCTAGCTACCACTCCACCGAAAAGTATAGATGAGCATTGGTTGCAATTGCATGACGCCATGAAAATGGCGGGAACAGTCAGTTGTGGGTTTGCGAAACGTCCCGCTTTTAAGCACTGGGTTTCTTCTGGTTCCTTACAACTCATTGAAGCCCGTCGGTCTACTCCGGGTAACCGTGAGTTTGACCATAAACGAAGGTTTTTACGTAAGGAAATCGGGCAAAGCTTGCGTAAGGACCGAGAAGCCTGGTGGTCGATGCGTGCTAATGAGTTGGAAGCAGCAGCTGCATCTGGTAACTACCGGAAGCTCTTCCAGCTCATCCGAGCCACTGGCAGCAAGAAGTCTGGTGTGAGTGAAACAATCTGCGAGGATGATGGGATGCCAATCACTAACATCCATCGACGTCTTGGACGATGGGCAGAATTTTTCGAAGGGCAGTTCAACTGGCCTGCTGCTCCGGCAACATCGGTCAGACTGTCCTGCCCTCCATGGCCGGTGACGACTGATCCACCAAATGAGGAGGAAGTCCGCAAGGAACTCCAACTCTTGAAGCGTTACAAATCACCTGGCCCAGATGACTTACCTCCGGCTCTTTTTAAAGATGGTGGTGACTTTTTGACTAAGGAATTGACGACGTTGTTTACAAAGGTTTGGGAACTAGAGAGTGTACCAACGTCATGGAATGAGTCGATAGTTGTCCCTATCTTTAAAAAGGGTTCACGTCGTTCTTGTAACAACTATCGGGGGATAAGTCTACTTCCGATTGCGTCCAAGCTATTGGCTTCCTTCATACTTCGTAGGTTGTTCAAAACCCGAGAAAGATTGACTCGCGAGGAGCAGGCTGGGTTTCGTTCTGGTCGAGGATGTATTGATCATATCTTCACCCTCCGCCAAATGTTAGAACACCGCCATACTTTTCAAAGGCCAACAATCGTAGTGTTTCTTGACATCAGGGCTGCCTTCGATTCGTTGGATAGGACTGTTCTCTGGGATTGTCTATTGAAGTAGGGTGTGCCTGAGAAGTTTATTAACATCCTAAAAGCCCTGTATAAAAACACCTCAGGCAGAGTGAGGGCATACAACCACCTCTCTCCATTGTTCCATTCGAGCAGTGGGGTTAGGCAGGGTTGCCCAATCTCACCATTCCTCTTCAACTTTGCCATCGATGACATTCTGGAAACAGCTCTGATGAATGTAAGTAATGGTGGTGTGGATCTGTTGCCTGGAGAAAGACTTCTCGACCTTGAGTATGCGGACGATATTGTCTTACTGTGCGATAATGCCCAAGGCATGCAATCCGCACTTAATCAGTTGGCAATCAGTGTCCGTAGGTATGGTATGTGCTTTGCACCTTCGAAGTGCAAAGTACTTCTACAAGACTGGCAGGATTCCAATCCTGTACTCACCCTGGATGGTGAGCAGATAGACGTAGTTGAGAAGTTCGTGTATCTGGGTAGCATCATAAGTGCTGGTGGGGGTGTGAGTGATGAGATCAATGCACGAATAGTGAAAGCCAGAGCGGCTTATGCCAATCTGGGCCACCTTTGGCGCCTTCGTGATGTTAGTCTGGCTGTAAAAGGCCGGATCTACAACGCGTCGGTGAGAGCAGTTTTGCTCTATGCTTGTGAAACCTGGCCTCTCCGAGTTGAGGACGTTAGACGACTCTCTGTGTTCGATCATCGCTGTCTCCGAAGGATTGCTGACATTCAGTGGCAACACCATGTCAGTAATGCAGAGGTTCGGCATCGTGTGTTCGGGCACAGAGATGATAACTCAATTGGTGTCACCATCTTGAAACACCGACTTCGGTGGCTTGGACATGTTCTCCGAATGTCGTCCCAGAGAATTCCACGTCGTGCATTATTTGCCGACTCTGGGACTGGTTGGAAGAAGCGGAGAGGTGGTCAGTGCATGACATGGTGTCGTGGCATGAAAGAAAGCTGCAAAGGACTGGCTTGTGTTGGTCCTTCACGACTCCCTGGTTGGGGTCCGAGAGATGGTGCAACACAGTGGCTAGAGACGTTATCAGATATGGCTCAGAATAGAAGCCAGTGGCGATCCTGCTGTAACCTTCTTTTACTTTCTTTATAAAAAGTGGTTGTGTCTCCTTTACCTGAAAGATTTCTTCTGATTGTACCTCTTCGTCATTACTCTCTTTTTCTTTTGCGTTCCTTAGTTTTTTTTTCTTTCTACTTCTCTTCGAATTCCCATTGTTTTGTGTGGCGCATATATATTGGCGCTCTCTTGTACCAATATTTATGTGTTCAAATAAATAAAATAAATAAATAAGAGAGCATAAAATAATATGGCAATTATACATCTAACTTTCAAGCTTTTTTTCTCATACCATCGTAACACTGCTCGAGAGAATAGGTGTACAAAAATTACCAAAAAAGTGGGATGATTAATCTGCCTGAATTTAGAAAACGGGATATACAACCTACTCAAAATCTCACCCAACGTTTTTTTGTCTGAGTTTTTAAGACAAATTTATAAACCAATCATTGGGTTTAGCAATTAAAACTTCCTACTATTCATTTCATTCCTTTCATCCGTACAATAGGGTTTGCTGTTGTGTGGAACTGTATATTGAAACCAGATCAGACTTTGGAACAAAACAGTTTGGACACATGTAATATTCTTCTGTTGAACAATCCTGAACCAGAAATATGAGACAACTGTTTGGTATTCTGCATTTTCCGAGCTGGTATCAGTAACTGAGCAGAAAATTCTTTGCACATGCATACGTTAAGTCTGAACAACATTTTGAAACTCGTGAATAACATCTTTGTTTACTCTAGGTTGGACGATACCAAGTTTACATCCATCAGGCTTTGATGACACTTTCATCAAGATTTTAGATACTGTGTACACACCGTTATCATTCATAATTAAGCTACTAAGTTCGCATTTCTCTCTTTAAACATTAAAAAACTTGGGTGAGTCCGGTTACAAAGCAGCGTGAAATTCATCTGACTGTTATTAGCTAATTATTAGTTCAGTAGTCTCTTTTCACAGGCTCAATTTTAATCATTATTATTTATTTAGTGCGATTTTTCAGAAATTGTTGCTCCGTAGGTATATGCACGTGTTGTATTTTTCTCTCTTTTCGTACTACTACTAATTATAATAAGTCGAAGTATTAAAGAGCAGATTTTATACATTTAGGACTATAACTTCACACGAACTCTAACTATATAACAATAACACGAAAAGTATTTCAAAGCACAGATAAATTATGACTACTAGTGGAATCTAAGACGAACGTTTTATACTATTTGAAACTTGTCAGCTGGATGAACCTACATCCTGGATTTAGTGTTTTTTCTGGAGCTCCAACCCAGTGCCTTTCGCATCAAACACCCAATGAGTTATTCACTTAACTACCGAGTCCAGTGAACTCATTACTAAATAACTTAATAAATCCCGACCGAAGCTGCTACCTTGACAGCCCTGACGAACACCACTTGAGGTAATCAATTCTGATGACAGTTCGCCATAAGCTCTCACTCTACCAGTTGTGTTCGAGTAGAGAGCCTTTATAAGGTTAATGTACTTCTTTGGTACTCCTTTTAGTGACAAACACTGCCATAGAACCCCACGATCAACAGAGTCGAATGCCGCCTTAAGGTCGAGAAATACTACCATTGTGGGGCGTCTGAATGTGTGTCTATGTTTTAAAACCTAACGTAGTGTGAATATCTGATCTATACAACCACGTCCAGGTCGAAAACCAGCCTGGTTTTCTCTAGTCTGTTCTTCACGAGCTTTGATTAGGCGTCGAAGTATTATTGAGGCTAATGTTTTAGACACTATATTAGTTAAACTGATTCCTCTGTGATTGTCACAGGAGGACTTTTGTCCTTTCTTATAGACTGGCACAATCAGTGATTGAGACCAGTCAGTGTGTCGACGCTTCACTTATCTTGGAAGTCTCATCAGCCCTTGTGGTCTGGTTTGTGACGAAATCTCAGCACAGATACAGAAGGCTCGACTAGCTTTTGCCAACTTGCGTCATTTATGGAGTGGGCGAGATATCCGTCTATCAACCAAAGGACGGGTTTACTGCTCAGCAAATCGTTCCGTCCTTCTTTATGGCAGTGAAACATGGCCGGTAAGAGTAGAGGATATTCGTAGGCTACTAGTATTCGATCATAAGTGTCTTCGAAACATTGCTCGTATATCCTGGGACCATCGAGTAAGTCACACAGTTGTTAGGGATCGGGTACTAGGTAAGGATAGCAAATCAATTGATGAAGTAGTGAAACCTCATCAGTTGAGGTGGCTGGGACACGTGTTACGTATGTCTAACGACCGACTGCCTCAACGTGCGATGTTCAGTGGTATAGGAGTAGGTTGGAAGAAAGCTAGGGGCGGCCAGACCAAAACATGGCACAAGTCCATGAAGTCACTGACAAGTGGACTGAGTCATGTTGGTAGGTGCAGACTACCTGGTTGGGGACCGCGAGATGATAGCAACCGATGGTTAGAGACCCTGAATGATATGGCTCAAAATCGTTTGCGATGGCGCAGGTGCATCCAAATTTGAATCTCCCTATTCCTCCTTGTTTCTTTTTTTTCTCTTTCCAAATTTATTTCACTGGATTATACTCCTTGAATAACATCTCCAAACCCTAATCTTCCCGATGACTGCTTATACTCTTATTACCTCTACCACTACGGGATTTGAATCGACAACTGCATCTCTGTGCTTATGTGGTGTGGCAACTCGAACTGATGTACGTACGTACGAAGTTCTACGTTGTTACTGACTGACTGACTGAACTTAATAAATTAGTGATATTTTACAACTGTAGCTATGTCATATACACAACTTTTCATAGTACTATCCATGAGAAAAAACAAAGAAACAAGAAACTTATACTATCACAACAAATCAATACTTACCAGACTATGTATATTAAGCGATTTGAACACACCGTCTGGATAGACATCGGAGAAAGAAATTTGAGCTATAATATTATCCTCTTGTGAACTGAATGGTATTTGTCTATCTAATTGGGATTTCATAAACGAAGGAAGGTGCTCGATTGCTTTCAGCGCAGTGCTAAAAGAAGGTGGGTAGAAGGAGAGATAGAGAGAGGTGGGTATATAAAAACATTACAAGTTTGACTAAAGCTTATTTGAATAAAGAGACAGAAATGGATTAATTTCTGTGAAACTATGACACTTAGTTTAAATGGTTTGAATTATTTTTTCTTGTTAGCCCCTTCTAACAACCAGAGCAACAACTTTTATGGGTACGTGGAACGTCCCGACAATGAGGTAGAACGAGAAGACCAGTCAAATAGTAACGGAAAGGAGATACAAGTTGGTGGTACTCGGAATCAGCTAAACCCATTGGACCCAAGCTGGACAGCTAAAGCTATATACGGGAGAGGTGCTACTGTTCTCTGGTTACGAAGAGGAAAATACTGATGTATGTACGTACGAAGTTTACGTTGTTACTGACCAACGGACTGCCTCTTGGGGCAGAGGTGTTCTGTACGAAATTGAGACGAAAAGCTAATGTCCGGTGCCATAACAGGGATAATGGATACGGAGGGGAGTTGGAAAACCTTGATTCCAAACCAATTGTCACGTGGTTGGGGTCATAGAGATGATGCGACACAGTGATTTGAGACGCTATCATGCATGACTCACAATAAAAGCCAATGGCTAACTTTCTACATTTTTCCCATGTGTTAGGAGAACTCCTAAAACAGTTTTGCCGATTATTATTATTATTATTATTATTATTGTTAGTTATTACTAATTTTCACTTATACACTAATTCATTTTTGTTCTTTTTCTATAATTAAGCTCACCTTCCTTTTCTAACCCCTTCACAATCTCATTTTTATTGTGTGGCGCACAAGTAATTTGGTATCTCTTTGTACTAATCTTTACGTGTTTAAATAAATTTATTACTAAAAATAGCATTCTTCGAAGAATGTTAACATTCATGTACTCTAACAAACACAACATTCGTAGGTTCTATTTGTCACAGATTGATTTAATTTCGGGTACCGCTGAAAATCAGGGATGACTATACAGCTGTTTTGTCCTAGTATAGAACAATAGCAGTCTACATCACACCAGAGGCCGAACCAGAAAACCTTCATGTTTCGCGGCGAACGCATAACTTAAATAGAGCAAGAACAAACATTGATGCAGAATAGTATGAATTCATAGTACTTCGAGGTTTCTCGTCAGCTGCTTACAAACCAAAAATGTTACAGAATTTTTTACATTGATAGTATGAAACAACTGACATGTAAAAAATGTAAAAAATTTTATAACATTTTTGGTTTGTAAGCAGCTGACGAGAAACCTCGAAATAATATGAATTCATACTATTCTGCATCAATGATTTTCTTGACCTATTTAAATTCATAAAGGGAATCAATTGCATGAAACGCATAACTGTCAGAACCAGTGAGTCGGCATCTAACGGTACAATTTCGAATCCACTCAATTTGCGATATACGTTGACAACCATACAACGACACAAGTGACAACCGTTTCAACCCTGACACTTCTAAATTCCACCAGTTACGAATTCTTACTACTACTTCCGGAACAACTTGAAGTAACTAATGAGCTGACTACTATAGTTTTAGTTGAAAGGGTTTAGCGGTGAATGGTTTAATTGAAAGGCTGTAACAGTCACATATCGATTTTAAACGGGGCACTGTTTTACAAAACATCCCATAAACTCAGTGATTTTTAACAGAAATATGTTTCGCATAATTAACTACTTACTAACATACAAAAGTAGTCAAAATAACGTTTTTGATAGGCTTACCTAGATACGATTGGATCGAATAATAAATCACGCCAACGACGTTCAATTTCTTTCTCCGTAAAATGAACAGCGAATCTTACAGTGTGACACACTTCTGTAAGGTTACATACCTGTGTGCAAGATATTTATTTGAAATATTTCTGTTATAAAACATGATTGGGAGATGACAGCTTAAAAAAAAAATACGCTTTGCTAACTTGTCACAATAAACTTGAATAACAGTTCCTCACACACTAACTGAATAATAATCGAATGTTCATTTAAACGTTTATTGATTCGATTAAACTTAGATATTAAGTGCAATTCTGTATGCGACAGCTAGTGACCAGACCAAAACGAAGATGAGGTCACTTTAAATCTGAAATTTGATAACTGAGAGTTGAAGGCTAAGACTTTTGAGTTACGGATCTATGTCAACGTGTTAGATTTATTCATTTTTTAAAAATGATGGGTTATTAGTTAGAGAACTTGACTTTTAACTAACACGTTGAAGGTTCGGAACCTACTCACTGCCTTCTCGTGGAGGGGGGGTGTTGCTTACGAAATTGAAACGAAGAAAAGCTAATGTCCGGTGCCATAACAGGGATAATGGATACGGAGGGGAGTTGGAAAACCTTGATTCCAAACCAATTGTCACGTGGACTCCAGGATCCTGGGGGAACAAATGGCGTATGAACAAATTATTGGTCACCGCCTACCATGGGACTGTATCTCCTGACGTTGCTTCACTGCCTTGTGGATTAAACCTTTAGGTCGAAGGCTCTAAAAATGACCCCCTAAGAAAACCAACTGCTTCGGCTTGGGCGACCGGGTAGTATCTCAGCCCTCACACAAATAAAACGAAATGATTGTGGTGCATATATATATGGTGTCTCCTTGTACCAATATGTGTTCAAATAATAATAATAAAATAATCGGAACCTGCTACATATACTATGCTTCGGACAGCCGTTAGCATTATTGAGAAGGTATAACTTAAAGTCCAGTATATAAGCCCATACATAATGCAAATGAGGTTTCTATAAAATATATATGGTCAGAAATAATAGATTATTTTGGGTCGAAATTCTGACTATACAAAACAGTACGTCAATTACAACGAAAATATATTTATTCCAGCTCCTAGTGTGTCTATGAACGAATGGCTGATCTTTATTCTACTTTTAGTAATATTTAAAGTAACTCAAAAAGAACTGATTTTAAAAGCACTTGTGAACAATAAAATAGGGAAGTAGTCTACACTTCGTTTAGGCAGCTAGTTATCTTAACCAACAAAATATTTAACTTACCATGACAACGGAATTTATCAATAAATAATCATCACCGGGCGTCCATGGTGCGTTTCTCATTTCACGTTTAGCTTTATGATGACTGATTCGAGATGCTTTTCGTTTCATTGTTCTAGAGAAATCTCCGCTACGATATGATGGTAAAGAATTGTTACCAGGTCGGTTTTCATGAGAAGGAATCTGAATATTATTTCATAACGCAGTAAAAGTTCAAAACCTACTGAGGTTCCTGTAGTTATTCCTGATTCTTTAGAATTATTAGCAGCAGTATCATGAATCATTGATGTATAAACTAAAGCAAGTTCGAAAAAGCACAATCACTGACTACTTAGTACACATGATTGTACAATCAACACAGATACGTGTATAGGCATAATAAAAAATTGATTCAAAGTGATACTTTTCTGTTCAGTTTATTTTCTCTGGAGTATAAAAAAGAAGAGTTGATGAAAAGCTTACACAAACAGACGCATAAGCCAAAGTTCCCAAAAAAAGTCAGGTCACAATGACTACAATCTTTGTAGAGTTCATCTTGACAATATATTTAGAAGGACTTTTTGGTCCCAAGTTATGAACATTTTAGGAAAATGGACAATAAGGTAGTTAAGAACGTTCATTTTGAAAACGTGTATACACAACCAAGATCAGTACCTTCATCAAAGAATGATAATGACAGATTTAAATTCACACATGACTGTTGTTACAAGTAGTTAAATGGAAGATACAGTTAGAAATGCATGTTGATTTTTTTTAATGCGGTGAAACAATAAGTAAACAAAGTAGGGGAAAATGATGTAATCTATGAGCTAAACAAAGGTTTAGGAGTAGTACTTACATACAAAAAGGTGTATAAAGACAAAATCTACTGTTTACTAAGTAGCGAAAACCAATTGTAGAAGCTAATAGTTACGAATGATATGAAAGGAAAGAATGAAGAGCTAACGAGGTCAGTGAGAAAGGATGAACAATAAGGCTTAGTCTTAGGAAACTTTTTCGGAACCACAATTTACAAGGACAATAGCATCCAGGTTGTATGCTTCGTTTATCCAACCTATCTTAGATAAGTCGAATTCACTAAATCACAATAGTTTGTATATTCAATGGTCAGACTAAATTTATAGATGGGAGGTCGTCTAAGAGTAAAATATATACTAAGTAACTTGTATTGAAATTTTACCATAAAATTATGATCATAATGAGGAGAGGCATTGAAAAAATTGTAAATGAATTGGCATAAGTGTGTGGTGTAATAAGGTCAGCGTGTGAAAGAATTTCAAAACCACCATAACAAAAAATTCAAGGAATTTGACTTCAGTTCGTCATAATTGTGGTTTTCATATGCGACTGAAGACCAGTCCAGGATATTCGAATGTTCTTTCCCGGGAATAGTAAGATAGATTTAACAATTCTTTCGAGTCATTGGAGCCATCAAATTATTGAATGATAACTCATAAGGGTTCGTTAAAAAATATCATTTCCTAAGTAATGTAACCTGCACTAGTGGTTGGATTTGGATTGTCCGAGACTGCATACAGACGAGGTTATAGAAATATTGCAGTTCTACAACGGCTATAGCTCTTCTAGAGTTACTGACAATCACAAGCCCGAGTAAAGGAGGAAGATTAAACATAGAGTCGGCAACACCATCCCAACCAGTGAAACTGATTGTACCCAAGCTAGGCAGAAAAGACTGGATTCAAGAGAATTGCCGCTGTACTCCGGTCACGAAGAGGCAAGTGCTCCACACACTCAAAGAGTCGTTCTGATGTTGTCCAAAGAAGCGCGAAATGCACTTATTGGGCGGGAATCTCACGGATACAGAACCATCAAAGAATCCTTCAAAACAAAGAAAAGGATCATGATGAATGCTATCCAGTGCTGTGTACCCACCAATGATAGAAACGATGAAGATCAGTCCTATGAAAGGCAGCAATTGATCGTAGCGAAGTGCCCAAGAAAAGACCTGACCTAATAACCCATAACCCTTAATTTCTTTCGCAGGTCATCATGAACTACAATGGGACTCCAATCTCCCTATTTTAGGGTTTTCTCCGAAATTCTGGAGATTTCCCCAGATCTGGGGAAACTTTTGGGATTTTTGTGCCTTTTCCCCTACAATTTTTTGAAGCGACTTCCTCGAAATTAAAAGATTGGGGCTTAGCATAACGATCGTTGCTCAAACATCTGTCTACTATCACAATTCTTTAAATATGTACCATTTTCTGATGTTGCCAACTGTAGTCGTCAAGTAGTTTGTTATGGAAATAATACTTGTAACATATGTTAAACACAGAGCGACAAAAAGAGGAAATTCCTCGTTCTCTAAATATCTTTAGGGAATGATCAATGGATCTTCACAAAAGAAATGGAAAATTAACAAAACGCAATTGTACAACCGTCTAAAAGTTAGCATTTAGGAGAAAAACACACGTTCAGAATCTACCTTAAACGACTCAGATACAGACAGTAGAAAAAAATAATTGGGTATTTACACGAAGCATGAGTAGCGTTAATCTAGTCGACAAAGATTCAATGCCCAATATCTTTGTGACGAACTATTGTTAACCAAACAATTTCTTTCTAATGTCTTATAGTTGCTTAAGTACGATTCTAGGTGTTTCTTGTCTACAATTTTTTACATGTTCTGCAGTGGTATTGGTTTTCAGCGACATGATCCCTGAGGACGATCAATAGGATTTCAGATTCACATTTCTGCATTAAAGACAGAAAACCTACGGCCTATGTTATTCCTTTTCCAGCATGCTTCTGTGAATGTCTGGTATTCTCTTGAATTAGTCAGGTAACTGATTTCAAGAATTGATGACTCGGCGAGAAAACCAGTAAGCCACGGGTATGTAGCGGTAAATAAACCCCCAAAATAAATAGCTCTGTAAGTTTTCGACATTGGATGCTGACCATATGTTTTAGTGGACTCATCTAGCTGAAGGCGCTCGGTCATGCATCCGTACCAGATCACGTGTGGTAACGCCGTGCTCAACATCAACCGCAATCGCTAGCCAGATTAGATCAGAGAATTCTGATATATTGGTCATCGCCAAATATACTCTTCCGATCTCCTCGACTCTGTCTTTTGATTTCTCTGGGTGGGAACGAAATACATTATAAGGTGTTACTGATAGAAACGTTGTCAGACACTGAATACCTGTGACATCATCATTGGTGAGACCGTCGTGATCTGGTACACTTAATTGCAACTGTGAGTCTGTTCCCTTTTGGGATTTTTATATATCATTGCCTTATTTTTTTATTTTTTTAAACATTGTGATTTTTTTCGTAATTTTTCTTGGATATATATATATTTCCCCATCGTTCATTATCGTACTTCATATTTCATCTTGACTGAACAGATACCTAAAGTACTCAAGCTTCAGATTTTGTACCCACCTTCGTTTCAACTGATGCCTTTCTGGCCCGACAACATCGAAGCCTGGTTTTGCTACGCAGAAGCCGACTTCTCCGAGCACGGCGTAATCGACACACGTGCACAATTTCTTGCAGTAGTCAAGGCACTACCGCGCACATACAACAGCTACGTAACACCTAGTATGTTTACTAGTGACGTTTCCGATCCTTACGAAATCTTAAAACGCTCGATTCTTAAACGAGAAGACCTAACCGATCGACAAAGTTTAGATCAACTCTTCAATAACATCGACCTGCAACACGGTTCTGCGACGGACATGTTGCAACGGATGAGAGAGTTTATAGGCCCAAGAACTTTTGACGAAGGTCTATTCAAACAACTCTTCTCGTCAAAACTTCCCCAACAGGTGCAAGCAGTTCTGGTCTTGTTCCAGAACAACGCCTTAGAAGAGCTTGCTGCATCTGCCGACTGCATTCTAGAAATTACGAAACCTACTACCGATGTATTTTCAGTCAACGAAAAGCCTCACACGACTCAGAATGATATAACCGACTTATGTCACACACTCACGCGTTATCTTAGTCTTCGTACCGTCCGTAAGAGATCGCGCACACTACATAGAAGCATTTCTCGTAAGCGAAATGTCTCTAGACCAAGAGAGACAGATAACCACGACTAGTGCTGGTATCATAACCAGTATGGAAAGCTTTCCAGAAATTGCAGAAAACCCTGCAATTTTCCCAACGCGAAATCGACTGACTCGGGAAACTTCCAAGCCGGCACGCGTTAACGGCAACCGTACCCGGCGAACATAGCCGTCTGTTATACGTCACAGATGTGACAACAATAGTTCGCTACCTCGTCGATACTGGCGCAGAAGTTAGCGTTCTCCCAGCAAATCCTAACGACCGACTTCACGAATCGACCCTAAACTTACAGGCGGCAAACGGAAAACCGATCGCTACGTATGGCAAAAGGTACGTTTATCTTAACGTGGGTTTACGCAAACCCATCCACTGGATTTTCGTTGTTGCAGATGTTTCTATGCCAATCATTGGTATGGACCTTCTACAACACCACAATCTGATCATCGACACTCGCAAACGGAGGCTTGTAGACGGAAACACTAATTTGTCCGTTTGCGTAACTTCTTTTACTGGTTGCAGAGTATCCCCAGTCACAGTTAAACATATGATAGACCCACTCTATCAACCACTACTCCATAAGTACTCTGGGATACAACAAACTCACTCGAAACTACCGTGTGTAACCAGCAATGTTACACATCACATCACGACTACAGGACCACCTATATTCTCTAAAGCACGACGACTAGCTCTTGAAAAGCTAAGGTTAGCGAAAAACGAACTCGATCACATGATGGACTTAGGAATCATACGACCGTCAAGTAGCCCATATGCATCTCCGTTGCACATGGTCCCTAAAAAGGACAGCAACGATTGGCGTCCTACTGGCGACTATCGGCGATTGAATGCAAAAACCACTCCCGATCGTTACCCGTTGCCTCACATTCACGATTTGACAGCTACCTTGAAAGGTACAACTGTCTTTTCGAAAATCGACTTGGTTAAAGCGTATAACCAAATCCCTATGGCTACTGACGGCATACCGAAAACAGCCATCATAACTCCCTTCGGACTCTATGAATTTTTGCGAATGCCTTTCGGTCTAAGGAACGCTGCTCAAACATTCCAAAGATTCATAGACGACGTTTTTCGAGGTCTCAACTTCGTACATGCGTATGTTGATGACTGCCTCATCGCAAGTCCGGACAGAGAAACACACCTCAAGCATCTGGATCTTGTTTTCGAATGACTACAAAAACATGGCATTTCTGTGAACGTTCAGAAATGCCAATTCGGAACCGACTCATTAGACTTTCTGAGACACACTATCGATGCTCAAGGTATCCGACCCCTTAGAAACAACGTGGCGGCCATTCTGGATTACCCAGAACCGACCACCGTC